TTAACGTCAACACAAAAGCACAATATGACTTAATGGCAGAAGAAAAAAAGAGCTGCTGTTTCTTTTCGAATTCAGTATAATGCAATTTTACCAGTACTTAATTCGACCCTGACACAAAAGAATAATAATAATTAATTCTCCAAAAACACGTGAAAATGTTATTGGCTATATTATGCAGCTATTTAAAAAAATAGTGTTTATTCATATTTATATTATGATTTCAAGGGTATTTTTTAGTATTTAAAAAACATATTGTTTTTGTTTACCCTGCTGCATGGTAAAATGTACAGTGATAGCTGTTGCGGTCAGCCAACTGTATAAAATAGTTGACTGTATTTTTCCTGAAATGCATAAAATATACAAAGCAAAATAATTTGTTTTTTGCAATTACATCTTTAACAGTATACAATGAGTTGTACCCACAATTTGTAAACTCAGTTTATGCCATTAATAAAAAGCAATGTAAGCAACAAAGGGTTAAAAGCTAATGTTTACAACTTTAACTAAAGTTGATTAAAATAAAATAGGAAATTGGAATTGTACAAGTTTTTGTTGTATTAATATATCCACTTCGATTTTTTACAATAATAATTTTGTTTACTTCTGAGTTAATTAAGAACCAAAAATATTGTAAATATGATTAAAAAAACTATTTGTGTATTTAGTTAAAATTAATTTTTATCCATCTATTTTATCAATATTGTGTTCACGTTCAGTCGTGTTTTTATAGTTTTATGTGTAGGAATTGTGTTGGGAAGCCCGACCATAATATACTTTTGCTAATCATAAGTTTTTCATAGCAGTATAGATAGCATAAACAGTATAGATGTTGTTTAATGTACAAGTCTTTAGTCAAACCACTTTTTATGTGGGTCTAAAACATGTATTGGGAGATTTTTATTGAAACTATTCCGGTCAAAGTAATAAAACATTGAAAATGTGTAAAATTATATGTATATTGTCTTATAACGAGTTTGAATAAACAATTGCTTATACTTTAATTTTTAAAAAGGTGGTGTCTTGCCCTCTAAGTGTTTGTATATTTATGAAACAGCGACTTTTTGAAAAGAAAAAGCCCTTAATATTTAACTCATATTACTAAGAAAAACAAATACGAAAAATGATCAAACACATAATTTAATAAAACCCGTTTTTGTTATATAGTTTATTTCCTTCGAAAAAGACTAAATCCTTATTAATAGAGACACAATATTGCACATTAAACAATGTTTCTTTGCAAGCATCTTTTCTATTTTGTCCATCTCAAAGTTGAAAAAATCAAGCCATAAAAAACGGGTTTAATAACCATACACTTCTACAGGTTCTACTTAATCAAAGCTATACATTTACGAAAATGTTTTCATAAATTTATTTATGTACATTATATTTTTTTTTATAATACAATATAACATTAGACAGCAAAGTTCAATTTATAAGATTAAGTGTTGTGCTACATATTTTATAAGTTTATTAAAACTCAGCAGACATAGTAAAGTTCATTAATTTGTACATTCATCTAATTATATGTAGGAACAATATTAAATATTTTCATATTATTATAATTATATTACTATTTTAACAAAACTTAACCTAATCATTTTCAGTATTGTGGTCCGATGTTTTATGTTACTTTAAAAAAGTAAACTTTAAAAGTATTTGAAAAACAAATAGGTACTTGTGGAAAACATAACTTTAAAATTGTTAAATCAACCACTTTTTAAGTCATTTTTAAAATTGATGTAAAATATGCAAATTATTTATAACTATATGAAGGCCAAATTTTATGAACATTTTTTTTTCTAATAGTTTTTTTCAATATATGCCATTATTTTTATATTTTTGTCGATAGATTATTTAAATAAATACATTTTTTTATTAGAATAGCACTTTATGTGATTTTTTTTGTTCTTATTTAAGAGGGAGAGAAATTCACAAACTTTGTTTTGTTATACTCTAAAATTTTCATAAATGGGCTACTACCGTTCTTCCCCTGTGCTCTTCATATATAACAGGCACTTCGTTCACTATTTAAAAACACTGACTCCAAATTGTTGTTCAAACAATTAGACCAATAATAACACATCTTAAAACTAAGATAAACAGGGTAATTCATTATGGATAAGACAATTATGTTTACTTAAAATAATTGCAACGTTTTAGCTTTTCTGTTTTAAGACCTTTTAGTCATTTAACAATCTTAGACAAAATTGAAATGTTTATTTTTTTTCAGAGTTCTATCAACTTTTAAAACTTAAATGGTAACGTATATTTTTAAATTAACTAATTAATTTTTTAGTGTTTTTAATTTATTATTACTATTATATTTTTCCACTTAGTAAACAGTATAATAAAATTACAAAATGTTTCATTGTTTCTAAGCTTTGGCCGGGTCATATTATCAGAACATCTGTTTGGATAGTTACCCATATTTAAATGGCCATTGAAATTACCGTAATTAAATAATTGGCGTTTTACTAGACTACAGATAAAAATTTACCCAAAGCATTTAATTGCTTTACTGCTTAAAACGTTTGCTTCCGTAGTTTATATTATTGTTTAAATAATTATTTAAAAAATACAATTCCAAAATATTATTCATATGTTATTACTTTTTTATTAAAACAAACGTTTAGTTTTATTCGAACGTGAAATTCGCGAAAAGTAGCAAAGTAAAAGTTTTGCAGATATTATTTTCAAGTGTAACAAAATCACTAAACTAACGATTTGATGCGAATCCAAAATAATTAAAATTATTAAATGTACATATTTTTCTTCAGGATCGAGAGAAACGGAGGGAGATTGTGATGGTGGCGGAAACTCTTAGAGATTATTAAGTGCCAGAAGAAAATGACGAGTGTATCTAAATCTCTGTACAGATGACCCATTTAACGTAAGAGTTAAATTGAGTACTATATCTCTTAAAAGAATGGTAATTTTATAGCTGTTGTTTGTTTAATAACTTTAAAAGTGATTATTCAAAACTGGTTATCGATCAGCCGAACTTGTCTGCAAGTTATTTTAATTTTACATTTTTTTAAATATGTAAACGTTATTATATTATATGCGTTGCCGTTTAAGTTTCAAAAGTTTATACAGCTCTAAAAAATACTAAAATAGGTAGATTGTATAATTTTTTTTTTTTTTTTTGATAGATTTATAATATTGTAAAATAACACAAACAAAAATGTTATCAAAAAGTAAAACTAAAATATTGTAATTATTTTAAGAAAAAATATTTAATAAGACAACTCGTCTTATTCATAAATCACCCTTCAGGGTATCAAGAATATTATCTTAGTATTAAGCAGATGTGATAATATTGGTCTAATAATTTGAGTACATTTTTTGTAGTGGGAGAACAAAGAGAACAAAGCACCCGTTTACGTATAGTTATAAGAACATATTTAAAATCATTGGATAGAGCGTACTAAAATAGCGAACATTTTTTCTAGGGAAAAAACAATTTTAATTGTGTCATTTTACGATAGACAAATAGAGATTCTATTTAGTTTAGATTAGATAGAATTAATAAAATGTATTGTAACCTTAATTTTACATTATACTGTTTATTAACGTTTTTTTTTGTATAAAGTAAATCGTTGAAACCACTTAATTCCTTTAGTCGTCCAATAGTCAGTACCTAGTCAGAATAGTCTTAATCATTTTATATTTTTATGTTTTTCACCTTCAAAGATGATGTTGTAAAAGGTTTGAGGGACATAAACGACTATATTACTGACCAGTACCGGCGATGTGGGCATACGCACAACCGGTCGACGTTTATATACACACGTTAATATTTATAAGTGTGTAAATTTATAATTTAGTTTAAGCAATTAAAACATTTTACAATTAATAGATCATCAGAAACGTTTATCGAGAATTATAAGTATTAATATTTAAAATGCTTTCGGGTCTCGGCTTTTGCCTTTTTTTATAAAATAATTTTATTAGCAAAACTTTATATATTATCATGATCACTATTGCAATAATAGTTTCAAATAGCTGTATTCAAGTAATGTAAAATAAACGTTTAATCGTAATAAATTATAAGGTAGGATTTAGAAATGTATGTAAATATTCGTGAAAAAACCGCAAATTTTCATATTACATAGTAATGAGTGCTTAACAAACGTGTGGGAGTATGCACGCTGCGTGAAAGTTATTACATGGTAGTTTAAAAAAGTATAATAGGTAATCCTAGGAAATCCTTTCGTATGGCTAGTATTAAGACTTGAATAGATGGTTTTTTTTATTATTACCGCACACGAACTACGTTATAAATATTAAAAATTAGTTCTGTACCTACAGAGCAATAAGAGAATAAATATAATAATATCAAGTGAATATATTATAATTGCTTTATATAAACACCGCTCTGCAATAATCGACGCACAGGGAATTATTATTTTCTGTATAACATAACAAGTACATCTAGTAGATACCGTTGAGATAATAATTACTCACATAATACATCAATAAGCTCAATATGGACACAGGCGCCATATTTTATTTGATATATAAAGAAAACGTGCCGTAGGCAGCAGCGCGTAATACTCGTAAATAGATCAAAAATGATTAATTGTCTGTTTGGATCAGTTTCAACAGGATAACAATTATTCAGACCACCACCACTGATAACACGAAGAGGAGGTTATTGTATTTAAAATTAAATATCATCAAGTAGGCCCGTGACATACGTCATCGGTTGCAAGTGACGAGTATTAGAAATCAACGTCAATCAGTGGTACTTATTTTTGGGTTGGCTCGTGCATAATATTATGATGTTAACGATATCAGCAACATTATCATTACAATCCGGACCGGATTTGTAACTGTTAAGTAGTCTTATTCTCGTGAGCTTATGCGTTACCCATTCAAACCGTTATATTTCCAAATAATAATTGTTGGCATGAGTTGTCAACGTAAGTACTTGGCTAATTGTCAATGTACACTCTGAGAGCGTGGTTAAACGTCGAAATCAAAATGTAGGCACTTACCTTGCCGAGTTTGGCCACGACCTGAGGGTTGCTGAACTCCGAAGGGACGTACATATGCATCTTGCCAGCTAAATCATAAGCATCGTGTTCCGACTCGGGACTGGGATGTCTCACGTAAAGGTCCTCGAAACAGTCTCGTGCCGACCGAATGGATCGCCTGATGATGCTAACCGGTCTGGTGTTGGAGAAAGAGTCACTTAGGTCCAACGATGGCGGCGGCGACAAAGACACCGGCGACCACACCTCGGGCACCTCGGGCTGCACCTGCTGTTCCCTATCCTCTGATATAGGACGAAGAGCGAAACTGGGACCGCATCCGTCCATTAGGGACTCTACAGGGCTTTGATCGGCCATGCTGTCCTCGGGATTGTGTTTGTCTAAGAACTTCTCGATTTTGAACTGCGCTTTAGCCAGCTCGACGGCTTCATCGCAGGACAGACAAAACTTTCCGCTCACTATGGCTTTGTGGAACTGCGAAAAATTCAACGACACGAATAAGTACATATTAAAAAAAAAAAGTTTAAAACAAATTAATTTTGACCGAGTTATCTTCTCTGAAACAAATAAAATCAATTTTTTTCAGAAAAGTTTCGGGTTTGTTGTTGGTTTTGTGATTAAATTGAAATGGCTAGTAAAAACAAAAACGGGTACTATCAGTTTTGGCCGAAAAGGTCTATTTTAGCTCAAAACGGTGCCGACCGTATAATTAATTTATAACTAATAAAACAAAAAAAAAACTTTTTACATAGTTATTACATTTATAACAAAAATAGAAAAATTAAGCTTTTGCACTTTCCGTTGTATCAGTTGTTTTTGAAAGTTTTTATGAAGATTATACATTTTTAAAAATTAAATAAATATATATTTTCTCTGTAAATTACTTTAAAAGTAAGTTTGACCGATTAAATCAGTTTAACCATAGTTTTTAACGTAAATATTATATTTATGGAGGAACAAAATTTGAAAAATAGTTTGGGGCCATACATAATTGCATAAATGCCAAATCCTTGCTTAAATAAGAAGACAACAATTATTCGAATAAATCTCAACAAATTGAAGTATTTTTTTCTGGTTGAAAATATATTTGTAGGGTCTTAACATGGAAAATATCCAAGAAGCCTATGTAAGAATCACCTTAGTATATATTCGTATATATATATTTTTTTTTGTATGCTAGATGAAGTACAGAATTTCATTTTAACGTCACGGTGTAGGTACGCTTGGCACTCGAACCCAATTGGTTGGTCCTTCGATAAATATAACATCCCCTTGATCAATAGTGCATTTGGGAGTACGGGATAACAATGATGAAAAAGACCATTTTGCTAAAGCACTATATTACAATAAAGCGCAAACGCATTTAAAACGAAATACAATAGTCTATTGCTACACAAATAGTGTGTATAATTCAATTGTCATGTACCGGCGAGATTAGTGATTGCATGCAGAGAACAATGGGGCTAGTTTTTTCCGTTGAGAAAATGTATTTTTATTTATTGGATAATTGGAATCTAGGGATATAATTTAGCACTGTTATGTAATATTGTTAAAAAACAAAATGCTAATTAAATCATCATTTACTATAGTATTATTTTATACTTAGGCGGGCAATTTTTTAGATCCGTATTTAACCTTTGTTAAATATGCCACTGTTAGATTAGGGACGCGGGACAGTGCACAGAATGTAGTAATTTATTTGTCGTAAAATGGAAAATTACTCATATTACTCATATGAAAAATAGGCATAGCAGTCGTTGAGACATGATTCGGTATTTTTATTTCTATTGCAATTATTTTTAAACAATAAAACGTGCTAAAATATAGAACCCGTTCATCGATTACTATTGATTAAACAATGCAACCACAATGTATACCCAGAACAGGATTCGTGTTGTTTTAATAAAACGCAAAAGAAACAGGAATTTCGTTGGTTTATTTTTTATACTTAAAACAATATATCAATGGTAAATCAAAACCGGAAAGCATCACGTACGGTTTTGATGAATAAAATAACGATTTTGTTGTTTTGCTGTTCAAAAGCCTGTCGGAACCCACTGTATTACATGTATATTTATATAAAACACTTAACACACACACATTTGTATACAAAGTGATTTTTTTTATCACGGGCCACTCAATACTTCATAGAGTTTAATAATAAAGTAAAATGTTTTCTTTCATATTGTTTTTATACAACGTGATCTCAATTTTTCACATTTTTTTTTGTTTTTACCCCCCCCCCCTTCCAAACTTAGTGTTTTTGATGGCAACTTTTAAAGCTTACATGGTAACGGATATATTTCATTACCTTTTTAAATTTAGAATAATGTACTACAAATTTTACTGCTTGATAACCAGTTTACGGCAAATATTTTTAAAGTTATAAGAGTTTAAAAGTTAGGATGGGAGGAGAAGTGCGGATGGGAAATGCGTGCAGATAAAAACAATACTACTCCTCTTCCCTCCTGCCCTAAACTTGAAACGACAATAACTTCAAAACTATTAATTAAATTTAAAATTTACCTTCCGTATCACTTCAAACATGTTAGCAAGGAGAGGATAGATAAGAAAAGTGGATTAGGGATTAGGGGAGGGGTTTCTACCGGCTACCCTATCGTCCTTTTTTCTCCCTCTACCCTACTCCTACTTTTGCTCCTATCCTCTCTCACTCTGGATGTCTAATCTCGTATATCTAATATTTAATATGTTATCTCTTATCTCTTAAGAGTAATTTGGTAGAATTTATTTTCGACATACACCCAGCCAGAAGACATATTATGTGAATATGTTGTAATATTTGTATTTATCATGAGACCTAGAGTACCTGTATTGCTGAAAAAATGTATGTGATTGGTGTTTCTCATTTAAAACCAACACAAATAACAAACAGGTAAATTTGCCCTAAAACATTTTTTAACGTTTCTGAAATAATCGATAAACACTTGCCAAATTTTAGTAAATTAAGTGCCCATAATAAGTAAAACAATGGTTTGGACCCAAAATATAACATTTCATTTTAGCACGCCTACCTAAGCATACCTGAATCTTTTCAATCTGTAGAACCAAACTCAAAGAAATACTAAAATTAAATCTCGTCAGTGGGTTGCACTCACTCAATATACATAATAATATTTTGACACTGACTACAAAGTCTCACCACGTAGGTAAATGTTGTGCCCTTTCGAAGCTCACGCGTTTAAAGTATCTAGAGAAAACCATTATTACACTTTTGAGCACAACAATAATTTAATTTTGTAAAATTAAAATATGGAACATTATATTATTGTAAATAGGTATTTACACGGGGATTCGGAGAATCCATTGAGTAATGCCGAGCTACATATTTTGGTGTGCCGCGGTATGTAGGTGTATTCGATAAGCCTGTTCTTCGAATTTCTAGAAAAATAATGCTATTATATCAAGATCACATTATTGTGATTGTGTGGCAGCAGGAGTTATTTATTATAGATTATACATATTTTATTTTTATTTTGCGAGCACGCTCCAATCATAATAATAACAGTTTATACAGAATACTTATAATAACGAACGGCCATAAAGTACGACTTTGCCTATATATTATGATAACTTTTACAACAGATAAGAGTGGCATACTGTACATTGCCTCCGATACATAAAATAGGTAAATTTACAATAGCCTTTAGCTTCTAAACTCGGGTGCATAATAAATCATTTTGTGTAAATATTGTTTGAGAACAATTATCGTAATTTATCTAAATCCTAATTGGTTGTGTCTAATAGCTTTTAACTGCGGCCAGAAGCCAGCACAGTAGACCAATGCAACCATCGCACAAGTACGATGATAAATTTATTATTGTTGTGTAAGGAAATAATAGTTAGTCTTTATACATACATTGTTTGACGATCGTATGCCACGATATATGGGAAAATCTGCATCGCTCAAAGGACAGTGTACTTTTTTGTTTGTATTTTGTATTGTACACCTACACGTAGAGTGAGCTGTGAGATAACCCCGCATGACATTGTTTTTGATTTCGGGCAAACGAGTAACACACGAATAATGACTCGGTTGACCTACAATGCTAGTAAAATGCTTTCGTTACACGTCCCGCCGTACCTTATCGGTTATCACTTTCAAACACAAAAATAGTTCAAAAGTTACCGTCATAAGTCGCATTCCAAAGCAATTACCCACATGTTCATAATAATATTAAATAAATACACGCATAGTTTGTGCATTAAACTCATTACGAAAAATAGTACAATATAATATTTATTTATAAACAAAGATTAATTAATTTAGTAACATTGCCTCGGTGTTGATATATTACTATTTATTATTATTATTATTACTATGTTAAATAACCAAATATAAGATGCGATATGATGTGCAAAGTCACTTCACACATTTACAGGGTGATCAATTTGCTTTTTGAAAACATTTTCGTTTATGCTATTTTATAGTATTATTATGTAATTTCTAAATATTATTTACCTTTTTTAGTATTTTCCAGAGCTCTATCAAGTGGAAACTTAAATGTTAACGTACATATTTAATTTACTTTTTAAGTTAAGACAGGTCGATAACCAATTTTAGATAATTACTTTAAATGTTTTATAAGCTTAAAACTTAAGACGGGAGGAAGAGTGGAGTACAGTATTATCTTTATCAGTACGCCTTATAAACGGCACTCCCTCTCCTGTCCTACATTTTAAGCTTTAATAACATTAAAATAAATTATCCAAATCTGGTTATCGACCAGTTAAAACTTTTAGCAAATTACTCTTAATCTAAAATGTTAATAACATATGTACGTTAATATTGTAAAATAACATAATCTTAAGTGGCTCCAAAAAGAAAAACTACAGTATTTCAATTAGTTTAAATTGAGCAATTTATCTTCCCTGATCACCCTGTACCAATTAGTCATCATTAAATTTAATTGAGTTTGTACATTTTTACAGAATAAATGAAACATGCAGTTTAATTGGATGATTCATTTATCTAAAATTCAAAAGTTAACACTATCACCTTTCGAGTTGATAGTAAACAAACGTCTAGAAGTATTTAATTAAAATATGTAAGCAAGTTTAAATAATGCTATTTTATTTATGATAAAATAATCTTAATTACTTAAATTCTTAGTTATTCATTATTATTTTTAATAGAAATTAAGGTGGGTATTACAAGTAATTTTAAATATTTTTTGAGTCACACGCCGATCAGAAAAGGTAATTTTTTTATTAATTTTATATTTTTTAATTTTGTGTCTTGGCCCACGATATTAATTCCAGGCCTATTATCAGGCATTTGCCAAACTGTAAATGTCTGTGCCTTGAGGCCACTATGGCCTATACTAAAATAAAAAAAATATTAAAATTGATTAATGTAAATTACAATTTAATGTTTCTGATGGTGTTTATGTACACGACTATCAATTAAGTACAACTAATATAGGTTTAATTAATAAGTATCAGCCAATAGAGAGCAAAAGCACTGAAGCTGAATAAGATCTAAAGAATAACACCGCCGGCTAAAAAATTTGGAAACCGTAGTCCTAGACCACTGTAACGATTTGTTTTATGTAGAAAGTCTTTAAATTACAAATTGTACTCAAGTCTTAAAGGCTAAACGGTACTTTATTGGGCCAAAAGTTGAATTTTTCTTAATCCATTTGCGCTTTCTTCTGAAATCGAGTCTCTATTTTAAATATTGTCATACTTTATGTATTATTATTATTATTGCGATAATTGGATGTCATCAAATCAAGTTCATTAGATATAGCTAAAGACTTAAAAAAAGCCTTAAGCCATTATTCAATTTCAGATAAATATTTTCAGTGCAATAATTGTGTTGATTGAAACTTATATATGCTCTACTGGTAGTTTAAAGATCAAATTTTTCAAAATATTGTATGGACACTCCGACTGGACGTGATGTGCACGTGCTAGACAGAGAATATGCTTTTGGCATGAATTAAAACGACAAACGTGCATTATTAACGTAGACGCAGACCATACGCTATATAAGGCAATAATATGATTATTATTACAGTTTGGCTCCACTCAGGACTCTATACATAACATTTACATAATGTAAACGATCGATTATGAATGTTAGCTGTTGCGAAACAGCCATTTCAATTACACAAGCACAAAAATACATAGAATGGCAAACATAATATCTACATTGTACAATAGCACCTAACGAGAATGGGAAAATTAATTATCGCGTTGACTTTATCATGATGGCTACCAAATCTATTTTCAATAACTGTGAAAGTGAATTTTGTTAGCGTACCAAGCGCTATTTTAAGTATGTTTCTCTCTGTTTTACCACACTGTGTGTCCGAGAGTTGTCGATGGCTCTTAGTCATGGAAATAAGGTAAGAAAGTATATTTTTATTTTATAAGCTATTGATTTGTTGATTGTCGAGCTAATTTTTTACAATGCACATCAGTACCAAATACGGTGTTAACGACAGTCATAACTTGTTAAGATATTAATATAATGAAACGGGTATATTATCCTCTAGGGGTACTCGGTGTATAATGAATTATAACAGTTTTTTCGAATAGTTTAAACGTAAAAAAAATGAAAAGACTATGTCATTACAAGTTTTAATATTTTTTGACAATTTTTGTTGTTTATTGAATTTTGTCCATGTGATAATTGCTTAATAGTCATCATTAAGGGTAATAGAACGCGCCAAATTGTACACAAATAAAGACTAAAACAAAAAGTCAGTTTCTGAAGTGTATACTGACGGATTTAAAAAAAAAAATGTTTTGTTATAAAGCTTAACATCATCTCTATGGGGGCTAAAAGGCCGATTTTTTTATTTCTGTTTTTAAAATTGTATTGTTAAAGTTTATATTTTTACTTTTTATGGGTTTTTCTAGCCCCTAATAGAGAAAAATAGTAAGCTTCTCGTAAGAAAAATTAAAATTGAAATCCGTCCAATAGATACGCCGGAAAAAGATTTCTACGAAAGCTATTTTTATCAACATTTTGTTATAACTTAGAGAAAAATAACGTTAAAAGTTTTATAACTAGAAAAACTTAATATCTTTTTACATTAAAATTAGTCGGCATACTTAAAATGGTTACTAGATAATTTTTTTCAAATATGGCCTATCCTTTGCCCCTTAAGAAATAGCGCTTTCCGTCCCACTTAACGAAATGGTAGAATATTATCTAATTACCTATCGAACAAATATAGACTTTCTAATTTTTTTCTTGTCCTGGATCACACTAAACGGAGTGTACTTGTCTTATATCGCTCGCCACACTACATTTACCTATTGTTTTGTTTAATGTTACTATTTTTATTTTTATTTTAACTCAGATTTTAGCGTACTGGTTAAAATAATATTCATACCAAATAATTAATATAAAATATTATACTATTACTTACCGTCGCGTACTCTTTGTTTGTGGTCAATACTTCGTCTTCTTTTTTGTCAATTTCGATAGACTGTAAAAAATATGTCACATTAATCTTAAGAATTTGCACTAGTGATTAACAAGTACAATTCTTAATAATAAATAAGTAAATAAAAATTATTAAGTAATAATGCAATTATTTTATAAGAAATAAATATTATTTTAATCAGAACTTTTTTTGTTTTCTTGAAAACGTAAAAAAAAATAATACAAATTTTTGTAACAAGTAAATATTTTATTTATAAAAATAAATATAAATTGTATAGTTTTAGTTGAAATTGTTGAAATTTAAATGAATGATTTTAAATTAATGGTTAAGAGTACGTTTTATAGATGTAGGTAACTCTAAAAAAAGGTCCATAATATTAATATAATAGAGATGAACTTACAAGTTCTTTGAACTCGGTGGTGATATCAGTGTACCATTGAGCGTATTCGCCACCGATTATATTGACATTCCGCATTAAATCACGCAGTTCAACGCACATCGGATGTTTGCTGTGCAATTCAATTTTAGTTGATCTCAGCCAATTCTAAAAATCATAGACAAAACATCATTAAAGTATATAACAGGCATAGTGCTTTATTGTACCACAATATTCCATTTCATCCATTGTAAAAGACACTATCTCAAGTTAAGCCTTTAAGGATTGTTAAGCTATATGATGGCAATGATAATGATGACTTTTTTAATTACAATTTCGATGACTTAATAATTTTAAAAAGTGTTTTTCGAAGCTCTATTAACTCTGTTTGTGTGCATAAACATTTTGCCTTATTCGGATTTTTATTTTCATATGATACTTTGCTGTTTGTTTGGTTGTATCTTAACGGTCGAAAATTATTTTAAAAATTAAAGAAGGGAAAGGCAATATTTTTTGTAAAACAAGAATAATTGTATGAACTATATTATTATACTTGTTTTTAAAAGTTGACGTGTCAATAATAGTTTGTTTAGTTTTTTACAATAAATAGTCGAAAAACATACAAGTAATTAAATATTAAATTTTAATAAATAAATTTCATTCGAGGACATTCCAAGTATAAAAGCTCTAAAACACTTCTGAAATGTAAATAAATCCAACAAACTTGATTTATTATGATTTTTAAACATACAATTTTATAACATTTAATTAATGTTTTTTATAGTAAAATTAAAAACTGCGATATTTATGTGTGTTATGATACTGTGTTTTTATTTATACAGAAATGTACAGTGAAGTGTTAGAAGTCAAGAACTTTCAGTGAAGAATTAAAACAATGGAAGACAGCATTGGAGAACCAAGTTTCTTAAGAATAAATAGGTCTAATTCAGTGCTGAGTTGTATATTTAAGGTTCGTTAAAGAGTTATTGAACAAATAAACATTGTTTTATTAAGGTTCGTTAAATACTGTTTATTGGTCAGTAATCAGTAACCTGACATCACAATTGTATTTTATAGTGACGAGGTTATAGAAAAAGTAAAGAACTTGTTAGCCAGAGTAAGTGTTCAACAGAATTTAGTATTTTAAGTAAGTATCGCAAGGGAATGGGAAAACATGGCATGGATGGTTCAAATAATTGTGGTTGGATGAATAGCAACTGGTAATCAAGTTTGTTGGTAAAATATAAGAACGTGTCATTCCAGGCGGAAGAAACATTTTATGCCACTACATACAAGTGATGTAGTGGCAGACAAAACAACAACTAAGGCGAGATAATGGATCAAAGGTATATTTAATTGGAGAAACGGAAACATGATGACGAATCGACAAATAATCTGAGACGTGTGACTAGAATGGTCGATTCCTGTCGTACAAAATAAAAATATAAACAAAACGTGTACTTACCTCTAACAAAATAAATATGCTTTTGTGCGCGGTAGTTATGACGGTGGCAAAAGCCACGCTGTCTCTTCCCTTCGACCGGTCACTCGGCGACATCGAACTCCTTCTGCTGCTGTAAGTATTTCCGGAACCAGACAACACTGCACCGGAACCACAAGCAACGTTAACATTTCCGGCGACGTTGCCAGACTCAAAAATCGGTGGGTCGTTGCTGACGTTTATCGGGTAACCCGGTAAGGCTACAGAAGTCTGGTTGGATATCACCATTGGTCCGCACGAACCGTGATATTCCGTCTGCGAATCAAGTATAAAAAAAACGGTTCAAATTCGGCATTGCATTTTTTGAAATTTTTTGTACCATTTTAGGGGTTTAAGGCCATTTATCACACAAATTCAAATTTTAAATAGTAGTTAAAGATTTACACGCTAACGAGATTTTAATATAACAAATCATTGAGTAGTTGCACAACGTCAAAACCCAGATAACTTTTTTTTACTTATTTGAAAATATTTTTTTAGTTTAAAACTTATATGTATTTGATAACATTTCCTATACACTCTAAATGTATTATTAAAATATATTATTACATGTCTTTAGTTTGACGTCAGATGAAACTAGATTAAAAAATAAATAAATAAAAAATAAGGGGTATAATGTTTACTTTGATATCTGATGAAACTGAACTTATATGATATTTTATTTTCGGAAAGGTTGGGATAACAATACATTGGTCCAGTCCATTATGTACATGTACCAACACGCGGGTAATATCAAAAACAACACTGGTTTGTGAAAAGGTGACTATTGAATATAGTTGGATTAGTCTAAAAAATATACCTGAAATCCTAAGGTACCTGCCGAACGTCCCCTGGGCAATCGGCTGACGAACGGCAAAGAGTCGGGCAAAGCCAAGTATCTGCTGGACTCGAAAGTGACACGAGGCATAGACCTAGAACGGGGTCTGTTAAGAGCAACGAATTCAGACGCAGGGCCATTGAAGGTCGAGTCCATCGGAATCCGTCTGTTGGGATCGTGGTTAGGTAAATCCAGGTTTGGTATGTTTTGCAATTCTTTTTGAAAAGCCAAAACATCATGTTCCGGTGTATGTCGGGGATCTGTCTTCGCCTAATAAGAAAAATAATCATACATATTAAAGCAAGCCCTAAGTTTTGTCGTACAAAATAGATAAGATATAATTTTGATAGTGATATTTACTCTTGAAATATTAGCTTGCGATTTGGACCGTCTTTCGTTATCACTGCGAACGTTGGTCGTTTTCAATGACGGTCTGCGTCTTGGCAGTAACTGAAAATAGTGTCCGCTAGGAAGCATTTTGGCAGAGGCTAATGAAGCTAAAGAAAAAACAATTGTAAACGTAAGTGACTCTTTAATTTATGTAAATGTACTATGCAAATGTTAATCAAATTAATTTGAAAATAAAATTAATTTTAACTATGTTACTAAGAGCGAAAGCAAAATTTGTGAATGAAGTAATTCTTTTAGCTAAAAAAAATGTATGAAATAAAATGTTTGTGCAGGTAAATGAAAATTGGATGAGTAGAGCATATGGATAAATATAATTTTACAGAATTTGTTCTTAAACTTTCCATTACCTTTGTTTACCTTTAAATGGTACTAAATTAACAATTAATATTGGCTTGACATTATTTTTATTGTTATATTATTATTCTGCTTAAAATTTACTTATTTAAAAAATATAGTTGTCATTTGAAAGTTAGTGTCTAAAACTACTCTTTAAGAAGACACTATAACTGTTGTTTTTTTTTAATTTTAAGGAGTTGGGAGTTGGAAAATTTGATCGAAATCTCATTTTAAAAATAAATATTAAAGTGTACTTGAGTAATGAGAAATGTTTTATGGGTACAAATGTTTTAAGTAGACTATCATGGAGTTTGTTTTCAAAGTTTTTAACAATTTGTCTGTATAATTATTGGTTTACTGTTAACTTAATTATTATTTTTTCTTCAACAGTAAATTTTTTTCTGCAAAATTACTTTTAAGTATAAATTAGTTATACTATACTGAAAATTAAAATATATTTTCTATCGTAAAATATAATAAACCTTTATTATACCAAAACAATTATTTTATAGAACCTGAATACTGTAAAGTAAAGTTTTTCACATTCTGTAAATTATAATAATTACATAAACTTTCCTCCATTACACGAAACATCAAGTAAAGTTTTAAAAAAATATTGAACTTGCATGATCTTAAACCTAATCTAATCTATCTAAAATATTTGTACCACATGAATAAAATACATATTCAGCCAATAATAAAAAACCACAGTAATTATTCATGATTATTACTTTGATAACAAAACTTTGAAATTAGAGATTAATTTGGATTTATTAATTTCTAATTAATACTTTAGGTTATAAATAAATTATTAATTCATAAATATGATAGGTATAATGGATTAATGGTTCGTAACAATCGGCATCTTGAAATTAATTCTATCACGTTTAAATAAGATGTATTTGCTCCTTTAATACGATTGTGTTAACTTCAATAAACATTTCATTCTTTAGCTATTTACAGTTTTCTGTGATTAGAGTGTTCGGTACCAAAATATACTAAAAACTGGTTTTGTTATAAAATGGTGAAATCGACTTGATCTAACCATAATATGACATTGAATAATAACTATAAATAATTTATTTGAATAATAAACATAGAAGAGGGGATTAAAATTGTTAGGGCTTTTTAAGGGCTCTTTATGCTTTCAAAAATGTTAAGTAAAAAACAATTTGCTTTGGGACTATGCCATGAAATCAGTGTGAACTGTCTGGGATCCTGAAGGAGTTTTAAAGAAATAGAATTTCCTAGCCTTCTATTTTAGCTACGCCTAAGAAAGTTGAAACCTCAAGACGAAAAACTGAGAAAAAAAATTATGTAATAACTTCATGTTTTGGATGTTATCGACTATATTAACTATGTGTCCTTGATGAAATCATTTTAAATATAATTCATATTTCATAGATCTTATAAGAAAATACCTACTATCACAACCTATTTATAAATGATTAGGTTGAAGTATTTTTTCTCAATGTTCCACTGAAACATGCATTTAGGTCAAAATTAACATGCTCGGGGGCCGATGCGGAACCCAGCAGATAGGCAAATAGTATTTAGCAGTTTAATGTGGGCCGAAGGCCAAAGATTAGTGGAATAGAGTCCGCTCTTTTTTGTATTTAAATTGTATAATATTGTATTCTAGTCTTGTCATCAATAAACGGTGCCGGGAACACAGGGGAAGTAATACTGTAAGGTGACCCCTTCCTTATGGACTTAACATCAAAGTTAACAACTTTCTTTTTGATTCATCTTAGTATTATAAAAACTACATGTTTATAGACCTGTATGATTTTAGAATACTAAGCAGTTATACCGTACTAACATTTTTATTGAAAGTTAATAATTAAGGCATAAACAACTGTCAAAGGCAAAGATTTTTTAAGTTATAAGGTTCTGTTCCCCAATATTCCGAACTGTTCCTTTTTTTAAATGCCTAAGGTTTTTACTGAAATGTTTGTTTTGAAATTGCTTGTATTCATTTTAGATATTGTAGTATTCTATTCTTTTTTATACAGGTTAAGTAACAACAAAGTCGTACAGTTCGGTAAAGATATATAATCTTAAAACATGTCTTATATTTTGTTTTATTTTTGAGAGAAAAACAGTGTTAATAAGTATGATTTTATGCCAAACAATAATTATGATAAAAAAAAAAAATAGAAAACAAAAATTAAATACAAAAATGAAATTGCGTCTAAGAAGGCTTTATTAAGACTAAAAAAGGAAGAGAGTAGACTAAAAATAAAATGTAAACAACTTTAGTTCTCCAATAATTATAAAGTGTTTATTCGGTTGCTTATTAGATTTTTATTGATCGATATAGATATTTAATATATATATATATATATATATATTGAATGACTCATATATATATTTCTATGTAAAGAAAACCCAAAAAAACTATTAGGTTCTATTTATTAATTTAGAAAAAATAGTTTTTCTGCTCTCTTAGCATGTCAAAAAACAAATGTTACCATATCACCGATGTTAACAAATTAATTAGGTAATTAATTTGTTTTGAATAAGGGAAAACTAAATAAAGACGATACAAATTAATGCTGTTATTATAAATGGTGAGGATGATAAGTAATTGTTTAAAATACAGTTGATTCAAATTAGAATATTTTTAAGAACTATCCATTTACATATAAGTTGAAAAGATAAATAATAAAATACACAATGTTTAAAAAGTTGTATAAATGTACTACATTTTGTTAAATTATCAATTTAAAGTGTATTTTTGAATTATCGTGCCGGAAAGCACAAATTTGATTAATTTATACATATTATAATAAAAAGTATGTGATTGATAAAAAGCCTTTTCTAACTTTATGGCTTTTCATAAAAGTTCTACAGATTACACTTACTAATAAAGATAAAATTGTAATATAAGACAATATTATGTAACTCTCCTTTATTATTAATTTTAATATGTGTAGGTATTTTATATTAATTATAATTGTAAAGGAAAAATATTTGAATTCAAGGTGTACAACTTGTAATTAAGAAGTTGTTATAACCGTTGAGCTGCTCAATTTTACTTGTATGGTGAAATGTAAAAATATTTTTATTTTAATGCAATAATGTATTTACATATATATATCAATCGGAATGTAGAAAGCGTTCTTTTATTAGAATTTAAATATTTTTATGTAAAATGTTTTTTTTTTGGTGAAATAACGATTCCATTAATTAAAATAACAATACGATAAGATAAGCTGTCTTGACAGTTTTATAAATAAATGTAATAAACGTATGCGTCTGGAACAGAGTAGGTGAGGTGGTAAGTATTTTCAGGTTCATTTTAGAATATAGAGTAGCAATTTCAAAGTCGTATATAGCAGCTAGTTATATAAGCTTTTTAAAGAAGTATATACATTTATAAATTTTAAATTACAATTTTTTCATCGGTATTTAAACCGTTTTATTAAAACAGTTAAGGTGGTTGTGCACAAATTTTAAATTTTAGTGATGAATTAAATAATTAAAATGTGTGGAATTAATCACACATTAATGAAAAGTTTAAATATTATATTTTAAACTATAATTCTACATTTTTTCGACTACATTGATCGATACTACTGAGAATAATAGGTGAGTATTAACGAGCTTTCATATATATGTAAATGCAATGTGACCGACCACACGAGTTCCTGTATTCTTCGCCTTCCATTTCCGGGCTCAAGACACTTTCCCTGTACAGCTCTTGTTTCATTATGTGTGAGCATGCGTTTACAGTCGCGTGGACGGCCGGTTCGATGCCATAGCCTCCTGTACTGCTGGAACTACTTCGTCGACGGCGCAAAATTTGAGAACTGCTTGGTTTGCCTTTGCCTTTAAGCTGGGTCCCATCGAATTGGTCCAAACTCAGGTTGAACTGTAAATAAAACATTCACGATAAAATAATATGTAATTTGTTGAAACACGATACACTGTAATTTTTGACATTCTAGGTTTAAGCTTCAGTTGGTAACAGAGGCGACGAGTGGCCCAAATCTAACACTGTTATCTGTTACCAGCAAAATTATTATTTAGTATAACAACTAAATAATGCAATACTTTCTAAGCTTTGCATCAAAGCTAAATGAGTCGACGAGAAAATAAATTACTAAGATTAATATTAAATTATGTATACAAAAAAAATATATATTTATTTTATAGTTCCACGAACGAAACAACATTTGACGTTATTGACAGTTCGTTAATCTTAATATTACGCTCAATGAACCTTAAACAACATAAAATAGTAGTTTATTATGTACTCTATAATTTCCTCAGGTCTGGATGAAATCGAAATTTTGTGTTAAAAATGTTACGCTATGTGCATCATTTTCTGTACAAAAAAAAAAAAAAATAATATGTCAGACTTGGAAATAAAGACTGAATGTTGTTCACGATTATATTTTTATCTAGTGACAATAAATGGATAAATCAAATGCGAATTCCACTCGTGCGGAATTACGAGCCGCGTGAAGATGATTGAAATTCAAGTTTCTGTATTTCCGTAGTCGGTATATAATGGTAAAAAAACATGCTATTGAGATCATCGCGTCGTAGTAAAATACACCTAATATAAAAATAAACAAATATAAAATCCCTTGGCAATAGAACATACTCGTCTCTTGCGAGTGCTCGCGTTTGTGTCCGTGGACGAAGCTCGACTCCTGGGGTTTCTGGGCGGCAGTTGGTCTTGTACCGATGCGTAGGTTATTATGCTGGAACTGGGCTTACGGCACACGGGTGTGGTAAAAAACCTGTGAGCAAGTAGTCTGACCAGTATCACGGGATCCACCACGCTGTCGAAGCAAGCCAAAAACTTTTGCACAAATAGCGGCGATCGTACGGATACTGGGTACTTGGGTTCGGCGTCGGTGTCGGTCCTTGCTTCTAGAAATAAAAAGAAAACATAAATATATTTTTTATACTACTTAAGTGTCACTATTTAGTGTCGTTTTCGGGCTAGGGGGCTTAGGCTAAAGCATGTTCCATGTTAAAAAGCTATTCACTAACCAATCGCTTGTAAATAATACAGAAAATGTTAATGGGGTTTTTATGTCGTTCTGTGTTTGAAAGCTAACAGCTATAGTCGTTGAAATGGAATTAGAAAGGGCAACTGTTTCTTACTTTACTGGAAAGAGAATAAGAGCTCAATTAAATACGCCAAAATGGAATGGACAAGAGTGTCTATCAACTTAAGGTTGACAAATAGTTTCGAGTAATAATGCCTATATAATAATAATTCCTTTTTGGAGAATTCGAAGAAAGGCAAATGTTATACTTTTCAGTTAAGTGTTTTTTAATTGACCGGGTAATAAATGAATACAGGACAAGTTCTACCAACTTACTGTGTACTTAATATAACGCATAGCTATGTAGTAAATCAGGTATGTAGTTAAGTTATTGAGACTTGGGAAACTGTCTGTTTATAAGCATCGAAAGGAAACTGCATATATTTACTACTCAATATTAATTAAATTTATAATTAATTTCAAATCAAACCGTACGTTGTTTTTGGGAAAACCAATTATTTTCGACCGACTTCGGTACAATAGTTGACAGTTAATTTAGAAATGATTTCCGAATCACTTATAAATAATGTCAATGACACTGAAGTTAACTATAATTGAAATACACAAGTGTATAAAAAGTTAATTAAAATTATAATGAAATAGGAATGAAATTTAAAAACTATAATAAATTATAATATGCTTGGCCGAAAAATGTACTCAAAATAATGAATTTTGCTCATTAGCCATCGAATCATTAGAATGCTTCAAGTTAATTAACTAACAAGTTAATTCTGTTGACCGTGTATGGTATTTCAATGTTAAACTATATTTTACCAGAAAGTTGTAGCCTTGTAGGCTAAAATAATGTATGTGCGTAGGTACTGGAATACATGACAAAATGTATAGCTCGTTTATTGATTAAAGCTGTGTATAACTAAAAAAATTTAAGTACGTACGGTTTTGTTCCAGAAGACTGTATGATTGTCCACTAAGTGCCCAATGAAGCGTGTATGTTTCAGCAGGTGGTGTTGTGGGTTGTTTCAATGATTCCTGAAAACAACAAAAATGATATCGATGATGGTTTCATGAATGTAAAGCTCCAACCTTTTAGAGTCTTCAGCAATAGTAACTAATGACACTTATCATAACTTCAGTCGTACATGTTTGCTATACTATTCCATTATACTACGTATTTCAGTACATGAAACTCAATTTTTTTTACAATTTACACTCAAAGCCATTAAATAGTTCTTTAATACTTATTTTCACTTTGTATTTGATGGTAATTAATTGTTAAAACATTTATTTTGAATACAATAGGTGTAACAAAATGTAATTATTTATTTAAAAGAAATCTACTTAAATCTCATGTGAAAATTACGATAAATAAGTATTAAATTTTCTAACTATTTTTTAACTATATTCATTGTAGAAAAAGATAGATTTAACTAATTCAAGTAACAAAATTATTTGTCTAGTAAAACACACAACAAGCTAAAATGTTATAATTCGGAAAAAAACATAATTAATGTTAAAGCAGCTATATGTTTTAATCGAGACATTTTATTTATTTTATTAGAGTATCGTTAAAATCAATAAAGCTAGTTATAATTTGTATCCACCTTTAAAATCCTTTTAATACAATCAATAACCATTATTGAAAATCAGAATGCATTACATCTTAAATTAAACACAAAAAAAAGGTTCCATGGATATTTTTAAGTGTCTAAGAAAAAACTCTTTATTTTGAGGGGAAGCCATTACTAAAAAACAAGTAAAAAAATGAACCGTTGCTTTGCCTTCAAGTAATATTTTATCTGAAAAGATGCGACTGAGAAAAAATGTAATTTAAGAAAACATGTTTAACACATGTCACGTCTTTCATGATTAAAACTACCGTCTAACAAAACAATTGTAGGAACGATGTTGTACACTTTAATTCCAGACATGATATCTCGGTAAGATTCAGTACTCTCTAGAGGATTCTAGCGTGCAAAAATATCCCAGTTATCTCTTCATTTCATGTTTCACACTTAAAAACGTAATATCATTATATTTTTTATTATCACTAACACAACTACAAGAAAATAATAGGTATTATTAAATTCTTCACAAAACAATTGTAGAACTCATAGTAACGTACATAAACGAGCCCTTTAACAATTATTATGGAACAAAGCAAATATTTCATACATTGTGGTTATATTCAAGGTATTACATTGTTGTTATGTAATGACTAAAAAAATATATTTTTAAGTCAGAAAATAAAACAACCCGAACATAACGCAGAAAGTATTTTTCAAGATTAGGTGTAAAATATACTTATAAATCACACCGAAGGAAGTAGTCAATTTTTCTTTCAAACGGCTCAAAATATATTTTGGATAATAAACAAACATTGTTCTATTCCTGAAATTTTTACTTGGTTATTGAGAAATAACATTAATATAGAGATAAATGTGAGTTTATACTTCGTAGAGTTAAACAAATACGCTAATCAGAGTCGGTCTACAAAATAAATGTATTTAACCATTATCTCGGACAAACATCTAAAGACATTCTCAACTAGGCGCTATTGTCAGAAAATGAGAATTCGTAACAGAAGTAATAATTTAGTTGTTGAACAACGTCAAAAATAAATTGCTACCGAATATTGTTATGATATTAGTTGGACGGTGGGTTTATCTCAATTAGTTTCGAGTTTAAGAGATTGGGGTAGAGTATGCTAAATTAGAAAAGTACCGGGTATAAGTTTTGACACTAAAACGGAATTTCAGGTCGTAATATCTGATTCGACTCAAAATCGGCCGCTATCAGGTAAAACGCAATGGAAATAATGTTCAATATAACCGTAATCTAAATAACGATCGTTTATAATACAGTTGCTTCTTCGAAAACTACATTTAACAAAGCCACGTGTATTTTCGAAATATAATAATTCAAGCTAGTTTCATTCGAGGTGCAGTAAAGGTAATCTTATAATTCTCAATTTTCCAGATGAACCGTAATAATATTATGCTTATCCGGGTTTTTTCTATTTACAGGGTACCCAATTTTTGAACTACTGTCACACTACAATAATCGTAATGCCACATAGTACTAATCGACGCGAGTAACTGCAAACAAATCGTATATTATTGTATTAGTATCTAATAAATGTCAAACACAATTATTTATTCGAGCGAATTAGACCCAGTGCCTAGTGAATGAATGGTTTGCGTTAAATGAGCAGCAGGTGCATATATAATGAAGCTTAGCGTTTACAAACCACAGAGTAAACTGTACATACTCATAGCTTATTCCCCTTAGTGACTCCCTATCGCCACATTTGCATGCATTATTACTGAATATGCGATTGTCTGGTAAATTAATGGTTTAACTATTGGTAGTTTAGATTATCCCTTATTTGTTTCAAAATAATTTAACCATCCTAAAATAATGGAAATTGTTGTTTGATAAATTATCGAAATCATTAATACTATATCATTATTGTTATTGTTAAATCATTATTTTTTTCTTAATACTGACTTGTAATTACTCTATTTTCAAAGAATTGCGTAATAAAATTAACACAGTTTAGTTAAAAATTATTAAAAATTACTTATCAAATGATACTAAAATAAAAGTATTTTGGTTATTTGTTTTTAAAAAGAAATTATGCTTCTGTCTTAATAAATGACTTGCAAAGTTTGTAGAAAAAATCACTTACCTCAATTTCGTTTAACAGACTGATAACGGCTTCTTCAATAGACACCCCTAAAAGCTTTTCCTCTGATACAATAGTGCTTGGTACTTTAGACGTTAGTACTATGTAACGTTCCTCGTGTGATATTGGTTGTAGTTGGGAATCTAAAAAATACAATTTAACAAAAACCTGTTAAAATTTAAAACAAATGTTTTCAAACTTAACCTATAAACCGAGATCGTAACAACTTTAATCATCGCTTAGTAAAATATTATATTGGATTTTAATATTATTAACGTTCATATTAAAATATCTATAAATACCAACAAGGATAATTTAATATTTTTTTAAATCAAAGTATTAAGTTTTTTTATGAAATGTGAAATATTTGTTGATGTGTACAGAAAATCTGATTTAAACTAAGCTCGATTTATATAATATGAAGAAACAGTACTGAGTGGTGCAAATAAAGAACTATTATTGTGAATACATAATCATCTACATCTAAAATAATTATTTTGTAATATGCAATATTTTTAATGTTGATTATTTTTTTTTTTTTGTATAAAATAAATATATGATGTCATAATCGTCTTTCTTATTTTTTTATTCATGCGGAAATAATTCCATAATTATTAATTAAATAACTATTGTACTTGTAAAAGTAAACAAATAGAATTATTTCCGTATGAATAAATAAATAAGTAAGGCTATTAAGACATTATATTTTTCTTTGTTTTAGTAATGGTATACTTTTATCAAACTTAACTGTCATGTCAAACATTATAATCCATAAAATTAGACAGTTTTACTATACCATAATGCATAATATAAAGGGTTGTACTTTTAGACTATTTTAATCGGCCACATTTCGGACTTACGCTAAAAATAATCAAAATGTAATCTTGCGCAATACAATAACGGCATGAATGGAAACCCATTTTTCATATTATATCCTAATATATTTAGTTAATGAAAAACCGTATTTAATTAATGTATTTCGAGACCAAAGTAGGTTTTATTGTAAAATATATTCCGATGTTACCTGTTTTAACTAGTAATTATGCACCGGTTATACAGTTTTATGGCCTATACAAATATTTTTTCCGATCTATCATTAATTAATTATCATTTATTTCCGGTCGAGAATACAGAAATAACCGAAATACTCTGAAATAACAGAGTTAGCTTACTACTGCATTAAACTGTACAAGAGAGATTTGTAATTCAATACAGATGACATTTATTTATTTTGTGTCACGCTTGAAATGAAGGCGTTATTTTGGTTATTATCGTTTTAAATTAGAACGTCAGACATTTTTAAATGGGGCACATGCCGCATGCATTTTCATGATTCATTTTATTAATTGCTTTCGAGCTCTTGTTATTCAACTAGCCCTGTTGTCTGATACTCATTTTCTTGCATAAGCAAAATGTTAAACCAACATATTATTTCATGTATCCAACACAAAACATTATTATTAGGTATTCTTTTGCAAAAAGTCAGGCCAATAACGAATAAACCCACTAACTGTTGATAAACGTTTAAAAAAATCTGACATTTAATAAAGCTAGATAATTTTAAAATGTAAATCATGGGTTCAGTTCTTACACCAAGATATTTATTAATTAGAAATATAAAATTATTATCTTTTGAGATTCTTTTAATTTATCTTTTGCCAATATCCAAACACATAGTGTTCTGTCTTATTATTTATACAAACAAACTATCTGATTAAAATAAATGTTTTGGACAAACTTAAAGCACTCATAATGATAATTGAGTTTTTGTTTTATAACAACTTAAAATAGCGAAAATATCAGCAAAAAAGTATAAGCATTTAGCACTGTGCGTTGACAGCTTAAAAACATAATTTTATTATAAAATCTGCATTACTTTTCATGACATCCTTTTAGCGTTGTTCAACGAATTAGACCTAATCCACACTAATTAATATACACATATTTTAATTACATTTGATTTTGCGTTAATGCATACATTGGAATATTCTGTTGAACTATAATAATATAAAATTCATATAACGATGTTCGAGAAAATTCAACGGTATCAACTGCCAGAAACAATATTTCTATCCCTGCTCAACTATTGAAAAATATGCTATTAAATTATAGGATTTTTTTTTATACTAACTTTTGCAGACAATATTTTATTAACGCCATTAACAATTATTTTACAAAAAAAAAAAAAGATATTTATAAGGTATTTAAATTTAACAGTTTTTAATTTTTTCTTAAGTAACTATTTGTTTACTTTATATTGTCACTGATTTATATAACGTGCATTTAATAAACAAAACGTACCTTGAGATATATCAAAAATGGAAAAACTTATGCGGCTAGAGAATCCCAAGTAGACTAATACTTTGGCTGCATGGAGCTTCACATATCGACCGTATTTGTCGCTATGATTGATGTAGTACCACTCGTCTGATGGCAATAGAAGCTGATTTAAAACGGTTGGTACATTATTATCTATGAGGTTCTTGTGGTGTTTGGGATGCAACGCTATTGTTGAAAATATTTGCAACACCAGAACCAATAAATGCTGCGAACAAAATATAAGTATATAAGGCATAAATCTTTAGAAAATGTAAACACTTTTTTTAAAACTACGTAAGTAATTTACAATACTTATTTATTTTTAATTGTACAAGCCATGAATGAAAATTTATTAACACCAATTTACAGCATATAATACATTATATAGTATTTAATGCAATATTAGTGGATATTAGCTAAGAAGTAACTCATTATTTTGCTAAGCAAAATTTTTTTCTTAATAGCCCCATAAATAGAGTACTAACTTATAGTAATAATATGTTAATGAATTTTGATTTTGATTTTTTTTACGATAATGTTGCTAAACAAAAACATGTTATATTTCAATAATGTCACCTGTTTTTGTTTGTTTTATAATGTACACTCTCTGCCCTTTTGGGCGTATGAAACAAAATAAATAAATTTAAAAAATTATTTATTCCACACCATATAAAGTGCTTTTATTATCATTATTAGTATACTTCATGAATCAATATTTTTTCTTAAATTGCTTAAACACATTTTATTAATTTGCTTATTTAGGATAATTAATTTCAAAGAATTTTTGTTAATAATAATAATATTATAATACAAATCTTCTGGGGAGTAAAAATTCACGTAAATCGTTCAACTAAGAAATTTGATCAGAAATCATACATAATTAATAAATATGTTACATTAAGAAAAGAGTATCATATTTAAAAAAATTATTTAATCCATCTGTTACAAAAACTCAACAGTAAAAAAAAAGTAAGAGGCATCCCAGTCAGTAAATTTTAATATTTTTTAAATTTTGCGAACAAATTTTTTATTATTTAAAAAATATTTTAAAATGATGTTTTGTCAGAAAATTAAATGTTAAACAAAAAACATTTACGAAATGTTGTTTATTTATTATGAAAATATGTCCAAAGTTTTACTTATATTTTGAATAATAAAATACTATTGTTTTTGCTGACTGTAATGATGAGTACAAGAAGACAAATAATTAAAAAAAGAATAGGAAAATTGGAATGATAGAAAAATTGAACTAACACAGTGACAACAGTAGACAATTGGTATGTAGTGGAAACTAGGAGGTTAATGGGAAATGTGAAAAAAAAATAAGATCGATTTATATTGTTATAAGATAGAAAAAAAAGGTAAAGGGGAGAACATTGTAAGAAATATTTTGTTTTGGGTCAAACACTTACCATTAATAACGACGACGTGGGTAACGATTTCTGTATCCATAATTGTTATTATTATTATTATTATTATTATTGTTATTAATATTATTGTTAAAATAATCATCATTGAAATATACAGTTATAAGGATTATTACAATTATGATAACTAGCATATTGTATGAGTGTAGTAAAGAATAAGAAGGATCACAAAAGGTTTGTCGTAGTCGTTTTGTAAGACGTTTCGATTGTGTAATACCGGTGAGCTTTGTCCAATGACCGCTCAAGCCACGGTTCAGTATGTAACTGTTAATGAGAACTGGGTAACGCCGAGCTTAAACGCACAATCTGTCGTTGTAAGCGCTAGGAATCGTATTCGTTCCCGGAGTTCCCGCCGAAGCATAATTTACAACTATACGACAGTATCTATGTTTAACATGTTGACTGCCGGGGATCCAAGACTTTTTTTTTCATAATACTTACGAATAACTGATTATAAAGAGAATGGAAGAGTTGACCATAAACAGGTTGAGAATCGGATACACGGCTCTAACGCATGAATGAGGTCATGGGAAAAGAGGAAGCTCCAATAGGTATGTGATACATGCGGTACTAAAGTTACCGTCAAATACATTCTCACTGAATACCGCAAATATAAAATACATAGACAACATTTCAAAATAATTGAACAACTGGACGAGTTATTGGGACCTGAGGAAAAGAATATCTTTAAAATTATAAAATTCTTAAAAACAACTAACCTGTACAAAAAGTTATATAAAAAAAATGTAACTAATGACCCATGTTGTCGATGTTTCAAAAAGACCAATAAAATGCGATCGAAATCATACCAATCAATAAGCCGAGAGAAAATTTTCTGAGAAGTATTTTTTACTACCAAAATGGCTAGAACACATAAAAAAATGTATGGTTATACTCATTTCAGTGATCCATTGTTATAAGGATATAAATGATATGGAGAATGTTTGCAAGGCTCTATTAAAGGTTATCATATAGGTATTACATATTATATTTTAACAGCTTGCGTACGAGTCCGCAACACCACAGGTTACATTTTTATGTATCTAAGGTGGCTAGTAAACATATCAAGTTTCTGGCTAATAAAATAGTGTTTTCATAATATATGCCCCAAAACAATTTATAGAAAATTTGGCCCCTTAAATTATTGAATTTTTTATTCATTTCTATTTTATATGTTGTGAATACAACATATATGCCCCCACTCCCATTCCCACTCTTACCCCAACCCCATCCCTCATATCTTACCCCATATCTCTCACCCCCTATCTCCTATATCTTATAACATAAATTTAACATACCCGTCGATCCCATCCCTATCGATTTTTCCGGTTGTCTTCCAAAGTAAAAACCATACTTCTTATTTACTCATCTATCTTATTCTTATCTTCTCATCTACTCTTATGATAAGAGTATCTTATCAGATAAATCAGCTGATTTTTTTCGTTATGATAACCGGTGTCGATTTTTCCGTTTATGTGCCAAAGCAAAGACATAAAAATGTCAAAAAAAAAAAAAATATATATAAATTTTATCAAAATCGAACAACTGTAACTATTTTTAGAAGTGTTTAAACATTTGAGGAAAACCATACAAAAATAGAGTGGCCTTGAGTGCACTAAACTGACAGGTCGCCCGCGGTCATGTGGCAGTCAACATGTTAAAATATTTAATTGATTTAAGTTTATACTGTACTTTCTGTTGTATGTATTGCTATACGGGTCGTTTGGTATTCTAACTAAAACAGTCTAATTGCTAAGTTTAAGACGTGTTTTTTTTATTACCAAAAAAATATTTAATGTATACCGAGTAGAATAAAGAAATTTGTATCTTTTTCATTATTAGCATGTTTAAAACATTTCTCTATTTACCTATCTGTGTTTACAAAAATGTCGTTATTATATTTTAAACGAATTATTAAATCCCAAAATTAAAGAAGGGCATACAAATTTTAAATGATGAATTACGTATTTAAAGTTAATTTAAAAACCTTCGCGCGACTATTTTGTTAATTTATTTATTAAATAGTTTCGATAAGCATTTGTTCCAAACAACTTTTTTTTTTTATATTAATAGACAAAAAATACCTTTATTAGTAATGCTCTTTAAAACATTTTTTAACTTTCACAGTATTTATTGTTTACAATGAAATAACAAAAAAACACTTTCGAAACTCTTATATGGAACAATTTAAAGTGTATCATAAAGGAACCATATTAACTTTGCTGTAACCATACCTTCAAATAAATACATTTTATTTGAATAAAATATTTAAAAATACAAATACCGTATTATGCCGATAAATATAAAAGCAAATAATAGTTAAGAGGAAAATTTAGAATACGATTTCGAATATCGAAATAATTTGTTATAGCCCTGATGTAATCAAATCAAAGGAGAAAGTCCTGCATAAATATCTATGTAGTTTCTACGTTAGTTTATTTTTGCACTCATTTAACATTTAAGTGTACACTATACAGCAACTTTTGCAAGACAGTGTATGTTTAAGACAGAAAGGTGAACCAACCCCTCAAAATTTAACAAAACAACTGTCCGGGAGTGGAGAGGCAAATTTAATTAGATTGCTAAAGTTTTAAGGAACTTAAACCTCTAAAGCTCTTTCTTAATTGTACCTATTAGGTATACGATATTAAAATACCTTCATATTTTGCTACTGTTAGGTAATGATTCATTTCTTTGAAATTCATAAATATTTCCTAGATTTTCTGAGTTATTATGGGAACAGATTAAAAAAAAAATTATAAACATAATAGCCCCACTCTATGTCTATTTATTTATTTATCTACTGAAATGATGTAGTTGTTATTAAATTTGACCTATAAATCTACTTATTTGACTAATCGCATCGTAGGAGTACGGGTACAAACTTATGCAATAATAATAACAGAAACTAGAAATAATAATCATCATCATGTAGCTTAACGGGCCATGAAGGCCCAACGCTGCCATCATGAGATGGTTTCTTGACGAATTCGCTTCCGGGACGGGTCGTCAATCTGTCACCGGTGAGGGGGATGGCGGTTCCTTTATACCGGACGATTGCTCGCCCAGCAAACGGAGCGCCTGTGACCGAGTGTCGAACCGGCGACAGTGAGCGCTAACACACTGCCGCCTTACCCACTCGGCCACTCCTCCTCCTCTAGAAATAATAATAATAATGATAATTACATAAGAATGAAAATATTGATTGTTATCAATACTTTTTTTTAATTCTCATAAATTATCATGCCAAAAATCACAATAATTAATCGCTTTACACCTAATTAATTACAATGTACCGTTATTATATAATTTCTAGAATAAAGAACCTGGTGTGAAGAATCAACAAGCCAGGCATTAATAGTTAATATTTTCCAATTATTCTTTCTAGTACCTCGGGAGAATAAATCATACCATTAATATGCTTCTTTTTATAAAATATACACAATACCATTGGTTTTATCCATTTCCAATTTGCAATTAAGCTATTTTAAATGTAGCTATACGGCTAAACCTTCTTTGTACTTTTATCATTTAATCAATTAACCCAAAATGATAATGGTTCCATAGCTCTAACACTGATTGGCCAAGAGAAAAATAAAGAATTTTCAGGAAATTACTTTAGATAATTCTTAAGAACTACGTTTATTAAAACCTAGAAAATGTATTATTTTACCATAATATTATATCAGAATTAAGGCAAATTACTAGAAATTATTATATCTAGATCATTATCTTTAGTAAAATTAAAAACATCAATACAGAATCTAAATCATTTTTTGCTAAGAGGGAGTCTGATTTTATCAGATTTAAAAAAAACACTTTTATATTACGATGCCTCTACACTTGCGTTTTTTTGGTCGAAAACAACTCGTTCTAATTCAAACGTACTGTTCCTAAGAATACTCCGATTTAAGTGTTGAAAAAATATTTGAGTTGTTAAAAACATTTTCAAGGCATCGGTCGTGGCACAATTTAAAAAATTATTTTCAGTTAATTAATTATTTCGGTTGAAAAAAAGATAAAAATTACATTTTTTTGTATTGAAATAATTAATTAACTGAAAATATTTTTAAAATTGTGCCACGACCGATGTCCTAAAAAGTTGTGAAGAATTAAAATATGTTTTCAAAACTTAAATCGATGTATTCTTAAGAACAGTACGTTTGAAATAGAAACATGTGTGTTTGTACAAAAATAGATCCTTTATGCATTAAAAAAGTTTAAAAAAAAAATTGTCGAAATAGATACTTCTTTCCTATATTAACATGTATGTTTAAATTAGTTTAATGTTAAGTTTTAGCGAAAAATTGCCTATACAATGCGCCCTGATAAATGCTAGATTAGAGGCCCCTTAAAAAATTACTTATAAGCATTCCCCATAATTAGTTAACATTAAAAAACCATTTTTCTCCTGTTTGTGTAAAATGTTGAAAAAGTTACTTATACCATCTTGGTTTTCAATTCTAATTCAATATGAATAAACACTTAATCTTATCCTAGCAAAACCGTTATTTTCTACATTAATATTTATTAAGGCGCATTATATAGGCAATTTTGATTTAATTTATGAAAATATATTTGGATTCTCACAATACCGTATTGATCGTGGCACAATACTAAAATTATTTTTAAATAAATGATACAGTAAATATAACTAGTACATTTAAAATTAGAATGAGTTGTTTTCGACAAAAAATAAGCAAGCGAGAGGTCATATAATTAAGTATAATATAGTGAGAAAATTTAAAAAAATGATTTAACGTATTTTGCCTTTTCTTCTTTGTCAAACTTAATAAAAAAAAATTGATTTTTGATTTTTCTATGTTACATTAACATAATATATACCTACTTAAGTTATTCATACAAACCCAATAAGTTTATTTATTGAAAATACTTTTTTTTAAATATTTTAATTCCTAAATTGATTCATTCGCATTTCAATAGTAAATTACATTTACTTTATACTTATATATACATTTTATATCGGTATATGATTATTGGCTATTAACCCTTACCGGATCATGAGTAGAATCCAGGGAGGCGGCCAAGACTTTGATTTGAGGTTCTTCAGCTAACTTGCATTGAACGTCTTCGTTGAGAGCCATAAAAAGAAGAGTCCGTGCACTTAGAATTTGTAAGCAATGTGAATTGCACTGGCTAGACCTGCAAACCAAAAATTTAAATGTATCAAATTATATTTTAGTAAATATTGTGTTTAGTTTCACACACCTTTGACTTGGAGTACACGTCTGCTTACTGTCCGTGACTCTTTTGTACATAGTCAATGAGTTGTGAAGAACATTGATTATAGTTGAGGTATGTATGTTAGATAATATTCCTGCAGAAATAATTTAAGTAAATAAATAAATCATTGATTACGTAACGAGACAACATAAAATTGTGTTCAAAATTCGTTTTATACAAATTTTATATTTACCAAGTACGCTTTCTGTAACGTTTTTGGCTCTGGGTCTCCCGTCTTTCGAACCCTGCAAGTCGCTGATCAGAGATTTTAAAATAGACGCAATATTTTTATTTCTCTGTTTCGATTGTTCTCTTTTGTTCCAAGATTTCATGCTACGCAAAAAAGTAACCAATAATTAGTAAATCAATTAATAATAATAAACTAACAAAATAATAGTAATGTAAGTAAGACACAGCAAAGTAAAATACAACTAAAATATATAAAAACAAAACATTTAACGTAAAGGTACATTATAGCGATGGGAAAAAATGTCTCAACAGGAATTATGTACAACTTTGCTACGGACTAGTCAAATAATGTTAATAAGAGGGTCATTGGCTAGAAAATTGGATCTAGCTGTAGTAAAATGGAAGACCTCATCATTCCCGGTGGATACATTGGGTGCTCTGAGACTTAAAGCGAGGAGAATTAAAATTGCCGTATATAAGCAAGAGAATAAAGGAAATGCCAGATTTATCGTGCTGTCTATTATCAAGGGACTTGAGTTTCAAATATTGAAGTGTGGGTTCGTAATTACGATTAGAGAGGTCTTTTTTTTAGGAAAAATACAGTGAAGCCAAAGCAGCCGTTCTATACACGTTCAATTAACTTTTTTTCACTTAATAGATTTGGATTTTACGCTTAGGAGCCATTTTCAAGAACTGACCGTACTAGAGTAGAATATAGTGCTAACAAGCAGGCAACTGAAATGAAGTCAATGGTGTTGCGGCGAATAAAGCCATGCTCACGCAAAGCCTTACAAATAATAAAATCAATATGTAGACAATGATGGAGTGTACAACAAACCTAAATCCTTCACCTGATTGACACGAGATAAGGGTATGTCATTTAAATGGTAAGTAAAATTAATAATTCAATCGCGTTAATGTTGCGAGATCTCATAAAGGACACTTATCTTACGCTTGTCATTGTTAAGAGTCAGGCCAAAGTTATTACATCGAGCAACAAAACAATTAACAGCAAATAGAAGTTTAACACAATTATTATCTTTCTAAGAGATGCGGAAGAAAACTTTACCGTCGTCTACAAATAGAAGAACACGTCTGAAAAGAATATTTGTTAACACCGTGTTAATAAATATATTAAATAAGACAAAGCCTTGTGTTATAATTTATATGTCAAAGTTCACGGTATTACCCGGAGGTACAAGCGTTATTTAGGGTGCGCGTTAAAATGAAGAGGTAAAGTTTCCTTACTGCTACAATCAAAATATGATCGTTTAAGTAAAGCCAATTTTTCACATTAAGTTATAGGGGAGTCAGACTTCCTCCTACCTAATGATTAAATTATACAGATTAGGTTTATTTTTGCAATAAGGGTTAGCTGTACGATATAATAAGATTAAAATGGCCGACGAAATAATGTAATATGCCAAGCAAAAGGATCGCCGACAAGTTTCGAACCCAAAGCAATACACCAACTTGAGTAATCTCCAATTATGGTTATTTGGCATACAAGGGCTAGTCCAATTGGCTTCTTATTTGATTCCGGTATGTTCACGTGAACTCACACATGTTATTTGGAGAAAATTATCACCTTTGACGTTATATTGTATTATAAATACATCTTGTTTGTATTTTTATGGCACGAAACAAATTCTAATTAATGAGAAGAAAACGCCTAAATAAATAAAACTTATTGTTTGGCACACAACGCGATTATTATGCATATTTTAATAACACTAGTTTACTTGAGAATATATGAAATATATAATATTTGGAAGACGTTAACACTATATTACTGTATGTACTAAATCCTTATGTATACGACTGACCGTGATCACCACCTAGGATTATTTTGCTGTTTGTTCGCGAATGTCCAAGGAAGCATTATGCTTACTCGAGTTTTTAGATCCCGTAGGCTTAGAAACACATTAACAAAAATAATAATGTCTAACAACAATATTGTGTTTTCCTTCTATAATGTAAATAAACTGGAAGAGGAAGTGAGGCTTTCTACAAAACCCTCGTCACATATTTCACTGGATTAAACGAGCAATATGGTACAAGGAAGGCTATACAACCGAAGAAAAGGATAAAACTGTCCAAATAGTTAAACGACACCATCGTTCAGACAGAGCATCTAGGTACATGGTTATATAGAAGCGTTTTAATCAAGCCGTGATGTTTATACGTTAGCTATTAGTAAAACAATATTTGAGCTTTACTTAAACAGGCCGGTCAATTTCTGGGCGCTTGAAAAATCGGTGTACGACCCGATATACTATATTGTAATACTAACTGTAGTATAAATACGGCTTTTTCGACCAGATAATTTTAACATAGAATACATTTGAATGTATTAACTAAAAGAATAGTTATCAAAAGCCAATATAAAGTAGATATTTGGCATTCAGCTTGTTAAAATCAGAATTATTTTAGTTTTTACACGATAACGACTAGTGTTACACTTGACCGATGGTTCAATTCACAGGAAAAACAAATAATAAGTAAACTGTAATAAGTAGTCGGTACATACGTTGCAATGTAGTGAGGGTGGTGTAAGAAATTGCATTCGTCTACTTCTAAATACGCGACTCGGTACTGAATGGCAATGTCGATTGTCCGATTGATTATTGACATTGCAGAAAACTGCACACGAGGTACTCCGTGCAATACCTTCAAACACACTTTGATTACTGTACATAGTATTACAGCTAGTTCTTCTTTTTTCCCACGTTCAGCATATTCATTGACCGACAACTGTTTAAAAAATTTTTTTTTAAAAATATCAATTACATTTCTAGAACGAATTTTTAATCAAATTACTCGCAACATTAAAATAAACAAATCGTATTAAAATAAAAACAATACTATACTCACTATTAATATTTTTTTCAACATCGTACTAATATGCGGCCACGTTTTAGTAATGTTGATTTGTTTTAAGACACTTGTGATGTGTGTCTTAAAGCCATATAAAATAAAACCAAGGCATTCCAAATTTCCCGCCATATGCGACATTATTTGAAATTTCTTATCTATAGCGTATGTCGTGTCTATCGTATTCTTTAGTTTAAATCCTAGAAAAATAATTAGAAACAATAATAATAATTAGTGGAGCTGACTCAATAATGAATAGCAAGTATCATAATAATACATAAACTATTTTCTTAAATTATAAAATACAATGTCACAGAGGAATTCAGATTTCGACATGTCCAACGAACAAGTAACTCGATTTTTAAAATGTTTCGGTTAATTAAATATTAAGATAGCATTTAATTTTCTTAATCTCCTATAGATATGATTTGTAACTCCTGTCTAATAAAGAGGTTGTACAAATTTGTTGTTGGACACGTCGATTTGTGTTAATCTATTCGTGCATATTATATTAAACAATATCTTCTATGTTTCCGTTCACTAAGAACAGCTAGATTAATTAGTACCATAACAATACTCATAAACTTACACAATGAACAACGAACTTAAAGGAGACAAAATAAAATAAAATTTATTCTTAGAATATAATAATGAAAAGAAGAAAATTCTATAATATGAAAACAAAAACGGGAAGAAATGTGTATTCTGTTGTTTATTGTAGTTATATTTGTACACAAATTAAAACTATTATGTTCCGGAATTAAAAAGGAGGAGAAAAGGTAGTCAAATCATTTGTTTTATTTGTCAATTGTGTGAAAACAGTGTAAAATGAAAATACTTCTATACAGGTCTTGATTCCCTTTATATGCATTTAGGCGGTAGTTCAGTTTAAAATCAATAAATGCACAACTTTTGTGGAACATTTAGTCGGTAAGCCACTAAAATATAACAAATGTTGAAAATGTGCAAACGTTTTCCCCCTTTTCGTACATGGAGGAGAGTTTTTTTATTTCTTAAATATTATAATATTCTGAATATTATAATAATATTATATAATGTTTTGAATAAAACGAATTGAAGTATTTTATATATTAATATTTAAATTTCAATAAGTTCATAAACTAATAAAACGTAAAACGATCCCATCTTTTGTGGGCTCTCTTGTTTGAAAATTAGCTAAAAAAAGTACCAAAAAAAGTTATGCATTGATTTGTGCACAAGTGTCGAAATCCTATGTTAGACCTCATTTAAATTAATTTTTTTTTATTGTGTTTAGAAACTTTTTAGGGGTCGTCGAAGTTAAAATTCGAAAATCAACTTGTTAAGGACCCCCTAATATACATATTATTGATATGTGCACCACTGGATATTTTAGAAAATGGGTAAACAGTAATATTTTTGAAAATATTAACAATAATTATTAAACTATAAACGCAGATAATACTTATATCTATTTTAATACGATTAAAGCGAGAAGCAGTGTCTAACTAAGTTTTGGCAAATTGAAAACAGAAGCTGGGTCTGGGCTTACTCAGTAAACTAAATAAATGTAATTTATGAATTATAATTGAGTTCTCGATGGCGATGGCTTTATTAATAATATGCATAATGCTACGGCAGAATTAGCGTTTTAATTAATGCCTATTGAGAGAAAATTATGTTTTAATCAATTTCACGAGCCACTCACGAGATTCATATAATGTATACGCTTAATTTATATTTGAACTTTACTAAAGATTTATAATTCTGCGTTCGAATTGAATATCCTAGTGTTTCCTGAAAGTCAGAAGTTTCCAGACAAAATTCGAATTCTAGTGCACAATCAGTTTACCTTACTATGACATATAGGTTGCCCCATAAGCATTCAACTGGTTAAAATATCACGTAGCGAAATCAAGGTTCAACATTTTTGTTTTTTTTTAATATTTAATTTAATTTTTGGTTATACATTTTTTAGTTTCGGCGTGAAGGTATTATTATTTTTTTTTTTTAATAAACAAAAAAAAAGTAAGAAAAAATAATACATGGGTGACCTTTTATTTTTAATTGAAATAAAATTAATCGTTTTTAAAGAGTAGGTTTGTCTTAAAATGTCCATCATAACCTTCGTTAACATAATCAACGTTTCCAAAAATAGGAAAATGATTTTATTATAAAATACGTTAGTACAATTATGATAACTAACCGTTATATTTGGCATTTTTTTTCCCTTGCTTAACCTTGATAGTCTGTGACAATCGCCGGGTACGCCCTCCGTCCTCCTGTAAAACAAAACAGTTATAAATATGTAATTAAAAAAAAAACAATACATTTACTTTAAAGTTGTAAGCACAACACTTATTATTAAAAAAAACAGTACAACGGTGACGCAGAAATTGGGGTGAGGAAGGTCACAGGTCTAAAAAACTACTACAATTGAAATTAAATCACTTAAATCAACGATTCCTTACGATTCTGTATAATGGTAGAAGTATAAATACAGATAAAAGCATTGTACTTAATAACGTCTACTTTTAAAAAAGTTATCGAGCACCGTAATTTTAAGTTGAAAAATATATAAATTTGTTGGATGTTTTTATCGGTTGTCATAGGGAAGGGGTGATTTTTTAAAATTCTGGTTAATTGAACTTTTAGGTACGATTTCTGATCTATATAGTTGCTACATAAGGAAATCGGTAAGCGGCTTGGAAATTATCGTGGGTTCAAACACGAAAAAAAAAAAATAACACATCTTTGTAAAAACAATACCTTCTCAGCTCCGAATAGAAGCTAAAAAGAATATAATGTTTATAACCGATTATTATGTTTAATATTTTAGTAGTTGATTTCGACTTCATTTGATCTATTAAGACAGACAATTTTAACAATTTTGTCAAACAACAAAGTATGTAATTTCATAATTAATTAATTTAATGAGGTAAGTTCACCTAAAAAAATAAAATTATACACAAATGTGATGTTTTATAGCAAAATAATATCCCCATCCCCCCTTTAGTGATTTATTTCAGTATAGCATAGAAACCGCTATCTTATAATATTTTTTCGGGTACAAAATAATATATTGCATGCTTAAATGATATTCCCAACCGAGTAGTTTGTATGGTTGGTAAATTTATCTTAATCTTATTACCGTGCGCACGAACCATAAATATGAATATAATCATAATAATAATAATTATATAATAATAACAAAAAAATCAAATAATAATCATAATTTGCTGGGCCATGTAGGATTGATGCCGTGATATTATCAACGGTTATCGTGCTAAATGTACGTTTAAACTTGCAATCCTATTATAAAATATGATTGATAGGGTTGAAAACGAGTATTGGCGAAAATCCATTAGATATATTTAAGAGTAGAGCCCCAGGGGTATATTTTTTTGCTTACACTAAACAGACTTCTTACAATACATATTATGTTGTTAGTTGTAGTTAGAATTATTTTACAACAAAATTAAACAATTTTTTAAAATTTAGGTAGAATATTTTAATTATAATGTGTTGCTTATACAACAAAAAAAATGGAACACAAAATACAAAAATTGTACATCATTTTCTTTAAATCAAAAAATATATTAATTACACGCTTTGGTATTAGAAAAATGTTTGAACAGCAAAACTGGGAATTCGGAGCTCAGGGAGTTTCTATGAAGTGTATACTTTGAAATATTTTTCCTAGTATTGAGAGTTATGTTTTGTTAAAAATAATTGAATGTCAAATATATTGTAGGTATATAATAAGTGATTAAAAAAACGTTTTCAGACATGTACATTGTACATTGTTATTTCTGTAATAAAGTTCATGGTGTACAATGCGAGTAAAATTCAATTTGAAGAGGATTATAAATATTTGTTTTGCCGAAAAACACAGGAAATTAATATTGAAAGCCAATATGTTATAGTAATCTCATGAAATAGCAATTATTATTTAAAAAAAAAAATCGCATACTAAATGTTATCGTCTACTGCCGGCACGAAGGTAGTGCAGAAACCGTCATTCAGCAAAATGCTTATTAAAAATATTCAAAAGTTAAGACTTTAATTTTATTAATAAACGTTTCAGCCTTGTCTGTGCTCCCTTTAGGAATCTGTAATATTTCCCAACCAAAGGAGTACCCGGCGATAAGGTTGTGAAATTGTTATTAATATCATTATTATTATTATTATACGGTACATAAATCGCGCTTCGCCTTAAGCAATAACCGTACACAACGTTATAATAATGCACCTGTCCGAGCATAATTATAAATAATGAATGCGGGGCCAGGTTGGCGCAGCTTTCCAAGGTGATTTGCCGGGTGAGCCGTTAATCGCGATACCGACAATATTATTTATGTACAATATTATACTCGAGTATTTATGTATGTTTCCGTTTTAATCAACAGCCGAGTTCATAAATTTTTGGGTGGTTGTGCGTCAGTGTTGTTGGCTTGTCAGTGTGTCTTTAGCTTTTATTATGTTAGCTCCTCTAATAAAATATTATCCTAATCTAAACACGAATGATTTAGTTACATGATAAAAAAAAAAAATGCTGAGTATTGATAATATTCTTTGGTTTCCTCTAAAAAAAAAGTATTCATACAAGAAGGCTATACAATTTTGTTGTACCCTGTTGGTTTTACTATTGGAATACCCCCAGGGGACACTCAGTGTTACGGGTTAGTGAACCTGGGGCACCAAGCTGAGGCGTAAGGAAAGTGGCGCTCCTATCGCCCAATGCACTCAGGATGCATTGCAGTAGCCCTACTCTGACCTTATTAGTTAGGGTAGTGTGACCCTCCAAGTTGGGGGCTCAGCGCTAGGCTAACAACCCAGCTTTGTAAAAATTATTGTTCAGGATGCAAATGAAATGCCTCGGAATAGTGGAGCAAATGAAAAAGGTATATGGAAATCAGATCTTCCTTTTGGGTACATGGAACGTTCACACATTATTTAATACTGGAGCAACACATATTATAACATGGGAAGTAGAGAGGTATGGACTTAAGATTGTGGCTATTCAAGAAACTAGATGGCAGGAAACGGGATCCCTAGAGATAAATAATTATACCATTTTCTTTGGACACCACAATTTACATTAAGTCACTAATAATAATGGCCTTAATGTGATAGATTTTGCAACTAATAGAGGTTTGAGTGATCAAGAGTACAATGTTTCCCCATAAAAATATCCATAAAGGAACATGGAAATTACCTGATGGAAACTATATTAATCAAATTGATCATGTATTGATTAATAATTTATTCAAAAACTGTATTACAGACGTGGAAACTATGTGAGGAGTTGACTGTGACACGGATCATTATTTGGTTAGGTTAGGTTAAAACCTCAAAAAAAAAAAAAATGGAAAATAACTATAAATAAAATAATAATAATAATAAACGAGTACAGTATAAAACTGGTTAATTCGGGGTCCGTATAATTAATAAAACACGTTTTAAAAGTACATACTGAATAATATAATTTTATTTGTCATTATTTTTTATTTAACCTCGCAAATGATTAACTAATTATTTAAATTTAAAAAAGAACTTATACTTTTCTTAGTCTTATTTAAAACAGATAAACAGTAGATAAAACTGTGTCTTTTGTTAATGATATAAAAACTTTTAGTTATAGAAAAAAAGTGGTTTATTATTATTCAATGATCATTTAAAGAAAAAAGTTTTCTTTTGTAAAAGCTAATTAACCAACAGTATAATTTCAGCGCCTAAAACCAAAATAAAAACCTCAAATTACCTAGTCCAATATTTGGCTCCAGACAAAAGATAAACATACTAATTCAATTTTTTTAATTACATTTAATTAAGAGCTTTTGTTTAAAAAGACTCATCAATTGCTGAAACTAAAAGTTTACAAATGGCAAATTTATTTAAATGTAGTTTTGTGAATGAACCGTAAACTCTTCAAATATAGTGCGTTTTTTGACTTAATGGCCTTGTTTAAATAAATGTATAAACATATTTATTTGATTTTATTATTAAAAGACAATGGATTTACTGTAAATAAGTTAAACTACATATTATTTTAAACCACTAAATAAAGTATTTAAGTAGAAGTATAAGATACTTTAAAAAGACCACTTAGTTCATATTGGTCTAATGTCTACACAATATTAGTTTTGACGTAGGATGTTTTTACTTAGTGTAGCTGTCCAATAAAAATAGTTAAAGTAGTCCATACTTTAACTATTTTTACTCTTGAATAATATTATGTACAACAACATTGTACAATAATATTATGTTATGTACAAATTAAGGAGACTATTCTCATTATTCAGTAGCTATTATTTCGTTAACTGTTAGGGACGGTCTAGACTCTAGTCTTTAAGTTTAGGGTTTGACAACGAGTTGACAACACATTCCAATTAAAACAACATCATTTACATAGGAAACTTTACTGGATAGGTAAAGGAGTACACAGTGAAACTACAAAGGTTCCAACACGCGGACTAATCAAGCAAGAAACAAGAGAAATACTAGGAAATAGTTGGAGTTTTGAAATTGTAACACTCATATTATGTATATTTCATATTATATTTTATTTTGAGTTCGAGTTGACCGACATTCCTTTACCTATGTAATACTACGTCGAAAAATAGTTGATATATATTATTTAAACATGTTTTTTTTTTTTGGGTAAAAATAGTTTTTTTTAAAACTACATAAAATTAGTAGTCTTACTTTCTGGACATAACTCGAATGTATGATCGGTTATTTTTGTAGGTGAACTCCTTGTTTGAAAATAATGTGTGATCATAGTCATAATATAGGCGGGATTGGCAGGGAGAAAACGCTTGGGTTTTCTTTGCACCTTTAGTCTTAACATTAGCACCATCTAATTAGTTTGTGTTGCTACCTTGTAAGTTATATGAGGGAACAGGTATAGGACTGTATATAGTGCATATAATAGGTATAATAGGTATAATCCTATTATAGTGCATAAGGCACGTAAAGCCGTCGAGATGGATATGAAATTGAAGATTTTTTAACATGATCATAGCCGGTAAGACTCATCTGCAACGACTCAAGACCAAAACGGTTTTTTTTATTGGGGTAAAGCGACTCGACCAACGCTACGGATTTTGATTTTACAAACACCCCTCAATACACTAGGTTATTATATAAATTATGTCGTTGGCAATTTCGCAAGCCTGTGTTCGATGTGCGACAGGATAATAATTAAAACATGGTGCACAATAACTATAGGTAACAGCTGACAAAAGCGCCGTGACGGCAATGGTTGAATTCCAATTAATTGAGACTGTGGCGGAAACAACAAATACACATATACACATAATATCTTGTTCGTAGCTCCAAAAAGTATAATGCTTCACAGAAACCGTGAACGTTTTCATTTACACCCCGTTTGATTCGATCAAATAATAGTGTCTGTGACACATGGCAACATTTACTTACCATTGACGTATTACCCATTTTTAATAAACCCTTCAATGTATATACTGTTTGATTCTAATATTATCGTGCTTGCGAGACACTGAAACAGATTTTGCTAGCCCGGATATTCTTCGCCGAAAATCAGATTTTCTGTTTTAACTAAACTCGGATGACAATGACATAATGTGAGCACATTTTCGTCCAAATATAATAGACAATAATACATAATCATAATAATAAAACGCAAATTCAGATTTTCGACAGTACACCGACTCGGATAACAATAATAATTCCCAACTCGGGTCACATTGTATTATATAATAATCAAAGAACAATACTCCAAAACACTACAAACCCGAAAAATCTTATTCATAATAAAATGTTCTCTACATAATTTCTTCTCACTAGCTCTCTGATTTCGCCAACAGTGTTATAGTCTTGTAAATTGATGAATCATAACCTAATTTTTAAAACGGAAAGAAATGTATTTGTAATCTAGTGCATGGAGTATGGTTAGTATTATTATTCTGTGACATTAAATGCAGAAACTATTAAAAATATTTGGACGAATAAAATAAATTAGATTCCGTTGTTGCTTGTAACTCAAGGTACTACTGCTGTAGTAGAGCTTGCAAATGACATGAAATAACTTCAAAATTATATTAAATTAAATTAGAAGAAGACGAAAATCAAAGAGTATTTTCTTATAGACTTTTTTTTGTACTCGTGAACTTAGCCGACAGTTTATCATAAATTCATAGTACAAAATATTATAGAATTTAACTATTCTATCTAATTAGTACAAATATCATTTATTTTATGTATACAAATACAATCTCAAACTGAAAAGTTAAAAAAAATGTACTGAGTGCACAAAACTTTACTCGTTCAATAATTTGTTAGCGGTTTCATTGGCTTAGACTAATCACAATAAGAGTTTATTGAACCGATGTGTATAACTTATTGTCTATGGTTATTTAATTTCTATTAAATATTCTAATGAAATAACCTACCACGTCTGGGCTCAAAATGCTCTTGAGCGACCACATTGATTCTGAATGCCCTTTATTATTGCCGTTCATTCCATTCACGTTTTCCGTTTGGGCAAACCGTATTTTCTTTAATATTCTCGAATGCAAAGTGGACGATTCAGCCAATTTAGTTTGCTCACCGTTGCCAAAAGTCGGATAGTTTTCTGAACGTCGTCGCAAAGCTTCTATAAAAGCAACAAATAAATATTTATATTATTTAAAAAAAACTCGAATATATGTTGGACAGGTTCAAGTTCAATGTAAAATGACTATATTATATGTAAATAAAAACAAAAGGATATGCTCTAATCATTTCTTTTGTCGACAAAAAATGAAATATTATTAATTAGCTGTCAGTGTTAAAAAATAATAATCAGTAAATTAAGCTAATAACTAGGACTGAGTATGGTATTTGTAAAAATAACGAAATTATTTTAATAAATTATTTTATTTTATTTGCATAGCTTTAAACTTACTATGGCGTATTGTACACAAAATCAAATACATTTTTTTTAATGCGTTAATAAATTATAAAAAAAAAACTTATACATTTACCTAATACCAATGTAGGTACAAGTGATCTTAATAGAGTCTATGTCTCAAACGCGTTAATAGATTTTATAGTTGTTTAATTTTAAATTAGAAAACCTTTTTCAAAAAAAATAATTTATGTTGCCCATCCTGCAATAATATATTTCTACGAAGACAATAGAAATTGTGCTGATCTCGGAAACTTATACAAATTTGTCATAATAGGGTGATGCTACAAATTGTAATTTTTGATTGATATTTTTTGTACATACACGATTTGTAGACAGTGGTAGACATAGTCAACGAAACCATAATATGAGTACATTGAAAAGAGTTTTTAAAAATGTATTTTGTGATTGATTTTATATTGTTTCAAATTTTGAACAGAAAATATTTACAATACAATATATTATCTTTAATCAAGATAATCTACCTGCTTTGGTAGCATTCGAAGTGGATAGTCTCTTCCAGCAGTCCTGGACAACGTACACTTGGATGTGTATCAGTGATTCCACTATATCCGACGGGCTGATATCGTTGTTATTTTTTAGGCAAATTTGGGCGCCAAACTCGATCAGGTCCAACACGCAGTTCCACGATATGTCGGGTTGTATGACGGCAACATGCAACGGAGTGTTACCAAATGCGTCCTAAAAAATAAATTTATAAGAAAAAAATAGTCTCAAAAGGCATATCAATACACATGAACGTTATTGTTATTTGAAATAAAACACAAATATTAATGGTTTAGCGCACAGATATGTTAAGTGACACTTTTGACGAAAATTAGTTAAGTATTCTATAAAATTGTCCTTGTTTTTTTTTTTTCATATGATGCACAAATGTTGTATGTGAATTGTTTAATATTTTATCCTCAAGGTGGCATTGTTGTTTGAGATATGTACTGTGGTTTATTTAAATTCGAACGTTCAAATGCTTCTGCTGAATAATTTGCTAAATGTCACTTTTCACATCTGTGCGCTAGACCATCGATATTATCGTCTAAGGTTTTGCACTTATAGAGGGACGGGAGAACCCACAGGATGTCGATCCATCGATCATCTCGAACAGGAGACTACCTGCCACAATACCCATTTGTCTTTAGACGTATGGAACCTAATAAATTGATACTTGCACAACGCAAAATATGCGACCGGTGAGCATTTTTCTGGGTTCAGGATTTCTCTGGATACTAATAAAACTTTTTTTGTGCCTAACAGTGCTTAGGCAGAGATACGAAGTAGCTATGTAGACGAGCCATGCCGTTTTGTACACGTCTTATTTAATTAAACGTAACGAGTGTCTCGTCTGCTTCTTAGGTGTTTAATCGTACACAGCCAGAGACATTTTTTGTACAGCTCTCTGCTGTCAACCAACAACTGAGACTAAGCGAAAATGAAATTCCTCGTTTCCTTATGAAGATATTAAACGGGAAATATTCGTACCGCTCACAGTATTTCAAGAGCGCCGCGCCGGTGAGTTTTTTCTTCTTTGTCGTGAAATAACTCTAAGGCACCAATTCTGTTTTATTACGGCAACTTTTCAGCCGTCACGTTAAGAATGTTATAGCGAGCTGTGTTTTAAATACCTACCTCTGTACTTAGTACCATAAAAATAATATTAACCGTCTACGTATTTACGGCAGGGGTAAAATATCTTACAAGCGCTATTGTGAATTTCGCCGAAGCACACATAATGGGGGATAGAGTTGTACAAGCACCGCCAAAACCAAATTTCACATGTAAAAACAACTTTTTAATTATATTGTAAAATATTTTGTATTGCCTATATTATACACCTTTCATCTATATATATACAAATGAATGTCTGTCTGTCAAATTAATTTTGTTTAAATCATTTTTTAGCTTCGAAGTAATAGCTGAGAAGGTATTTTAATTTGCATTCAATTAAAAAGACTATTGAAAATGTATGAAAAAGTTTGGCCATTCGAGTTTTAAACAAGTTGCAACTTAAATTTCAATGGCAAGTTCATACAACCGCAACGACATTATACAGTGTTTTTGTGACTTTTGTTCTAACACAATGTGATATCACTACGATGTGGTTAACCACAAAAGTTAATTAAAAGCAGGCATCCAAGTGCCACACAATAGAATGTCATCGTGTGCTTTTTATTAGTAGTCTCAAAATCGCAGTGCTCTTCAAAACTTAATGTTATCGCACGACGCTATTTTGCGGGTCATTCTTATCGCCAAAGCAACACAATATTATTACATTGAGAACATTTTCGTTGCTATTATAAACACCTGTAAAGTGGGGGACACAAATATGAAAAAGCTGGGTCTAAGGAGGTATTCGCACAAGAAAATGTAGAAAGGTCATTGCGTTTCTATTTTTTTGTTGACAATGTTTGCATCAAATGCCAAACACAAACCGACCTACGCAGGTTTTTTTAGTTTGTAAATAGAAAAACTCACTCGGTGAACTCTCCGGGTTGCTTTTATGGCAACTAATAACGACGCATAAACGTTGGAAGAGTAAATGGGAAAAAAGGCAGCAGGTTTTTTTGTTAGTTTTTAATATACTATGCCTAAGGAGACGTCGGTATATTCTATCTAAAGAAATGAATAAGAAAAAAAAATAACGGTCAACACGTACACCTACTGCCTTCCCGGAAAGAAAACGAAATTGTTCGTGCAGTATGTACTTGTCTGAAGTGTGCCACCCCAATGACTCCACAGCGGCCCGTATTGACAGGTCAGTCAATAGAGGACACACTGTTGTTTACCAAAGTGTATATAGCGATTGCTACCAGATTAAACATCTTTGTTTCCTAAACTAAGAAAAAAAAAAATTTAAACCTAAAAAAATTGTTCCGCTAAATGACAGAAATTAAAATTTTATTGGGTTAAGCTTTTCTAATGCTACGCGCCTTATTTCAGCGTGTACTTGCCATCTAGAGACCATCCCAAGACCTGTGCTTTTACTGTTTCTAGATTTTATACGAGCAGAGGAATAAGTAGGTACATAATTTTAACGGTTGACCCCACAAAAACCAAAACAAACATTGCACAAATAAAAGCGGTCCAGGTATATTTTATCGATGGAAAAACAAACAGAATAACACATAGCTTAAGGGGAACGGAAAACGGTAAATTGTATACAAATAAAGACAAAAACGCGAAATTACTCTTTAGTGTCTACTGGTGTGACTCACGTTCTGTTTTGTGTGTTAGTAAAAAAAAATAATTAATTTTTTTGTTTTTTACTTTATAAATTCTAAGTTATTACGTATAAAACCGTACACCTAATTAAATACACTTTTTAAAGTAATTAAAAATCATATTTTGTGTTTTAGGTGAAAAGTTGAATTTAGCGCAATTTGCCTTATATCTATTTTTAGAGACAAAATGAAAAGCTCAGTGTAATCTACCATTGGCCTAATCGTTTAAGCAAAACTGACAGTTCAGGAACAAGGTTCAGCTAGTTTAGGGACGAAATATGCTCTGTTTAATTATCAGCTATAACTAGATTTTACAGTAACTACACCGTATAAAAATAATGTTTACATACTATAGAAAGACAATGTGAGACAATTGAATGAGTGTACCTTGGTTATAGTTTTTCGACAGCAACAACATTTACCGAAAAATAGTTTACAATGCTAACTTTAGGTTAACAAACCACATCCACCAACCAATGACAGCTCAATTATAAGTTATAAGAGCCATTCTTAACAATACTTGGAGTTTACTGGAAATTTCACGTCTCACAATTATTTTGCTCGTCTAAATTATTTTCTAGCGTTACTTTACGTCAAACAGTAAATCTCATTAGCTTTCGTCGAATTTTTGAGGTAGTCTTTGACTTTCTACCCGTAACATAACAATATAATAATTACATTACCGGGGCATTTGTGCCTGTATATTTTGCTGATTAATAATGAAAGCGAAAGGGCCAAAATGACTGCTTCGGTAACTTTAAAGCGTGTCAAACTTATCTGATTAATTGTTAGCGGAAAAATATGACGTGACCAATTTTGTTTTATCACTTTTTGTAAAATCTAATTACCCTAGCCTTAAACGTGTTGTACGTCTCTAATAGATACAATAACGAAATCTTTATTATAATATAGATTCTCTTTATAATTATTATAGTTTTGTTAAAAAATATATGTAGTCGTTGAATCGGTTAGTAAAAATGTGACCTTAACAGGTGCGAAATTAGTGTAAGCGGCTGGTTTGGATGTCCGATCCCACTGGCCACTGGCATAATGCCCAAAGAAAACCGGCTAGGTGGAATTAGCCCTATACTTTAAATCCGAAATTAATTCCTATCCAGCACACTGTACCTCAGATAAGGCCATCACACAGGTAGGCTCTCCGTTAATTTTCCGATACAATTTGTTATTACTAAAGAATTAATAAACTTTAATTAATTGTTTTTAACTTAAGCCAAACTATTTCATCTTTCGCGTTGGATTAAAAATATTAACAATATTTTTGAGTGATCTTTTCTTATGATATATCTGGTTATTATTGTGCCATTTTTACACGTTATAATTCATAAGATAGTATTTTGAAATATTTCTTCAAACGGGGAGACACCATGCTATAAAATAAGTTTATTAAATATGCCCACTGTTTTATTTAACTTTCAATATATTTATCGACTTGTCATTTCACTATTAGTAAATACTAAATAAGATCAGTAATTTTGAAATAGCAGTACCACAAAAAATATGTTTGGTACCTAAATCTTTATATAGATCTTCCTATAGATTTTATCTGAAGATTATTACTTAGTTAAGATCCTCTAACTTAAATGGGCTAGTACTGCAGATAGAACATTTTGATGGTTTAACCACGATCAGTTTTCATGAATGTTATTTTATTGATGCACTTAGACTACAATACTAATTATTTTAAAATGGTATTGTTAAATAATTGGTAATAAACATTTCCTGGTTCCGTCAAACACATGACTTGTTTTATTTGGAATGCATACAAGGAAGGCTGCATTTTTTGTTGCTGTGATTTTTGGGTTTTAACATGGAAATATTTTCGGGCTGGGGATCATTCCAAAATTTGTGTCACGTCACGAAATATATGAATACATGATAAGAGATAAAAGATTAGAGATTATAAGCAATCAATTAGATATCCAGAGGGAGGATATGCGGAAAGGTAAGAATAGGCCAGAGGGAAAAGGGGAGAATAGGGTAGAAAATTTGTTTTGTCATAGGCCTTAGGTCACGGATGGACACATGTCATACACTACTTTGAATAGAAGAGAGGAGATCGGAAGGGAAAGGGATAGTGTTAATAGGGAGGAAAACAGTGGATGGTGGAGGGTATGGAAGGAGGAAAGATCGTGGGAAGAAGAGAGAGAGGGAAGGAAAAGATCATAATCTATTAAATTCTATCATAATAATCATTTTAAACAATGGCAAAGTGATTTAAGGCTAAAAACATATCTATTATTCAATGTTTTACGTGAAGCTGAGAAATTATCTGTTTTTTCTGATTGACACTGCCCCCCCCCCAAAAAAAAAAACCAAAATAAATAATAAATTCAAAACATTATAAACAAACAGTGCTTGTTTTTTGATGGAAAAATGAAAACCTTAGATTTTTCTTCTACGAGCTCGGACCAATCTTTACAGTTATTTCCGGTCGGGTGTAGAAGAACTAATGCTTCGATATCAATTAAAATAATAGCTGCTATGTACTCGAGGCCGAAACGCGATGGGAAGAAAGCCCCGTACAAACCGAGAACACATACCTGGAAGTTTGGCGATGCGCCGTGCTTGAGCAACATGTAGACCACGGTGGAATTTCGGCGGACGATGGCCGAGTATATTGGCGGCAACGTGATCAGGTAGCTTTTGGTGTACATGGCGTTCATGTCGTGGATTTGGTCCGACGATATGATATCGTTGTTGATCTTGAAATTGGTCTTGGGCTCGCTGTAGTCATCGTCGTCGGGTTCGTTCTTTGTTTGTCCGACCGACACGAGAGAGCTGTTGGAGTTGACCGATGCCAAAGACTGGTTCGACTGAACCGGTGACGGCGTCTTTTCCATCAAATTAAGACGGCCATTCTCGATCTCATACTCGTCGTACCGGCGGCGTTCGTGACGCTCAAACAACGTAGGCACGTCCAGGTTGTTGCTCTCCTGTTCGTTGACTACCGGCTCATTGTTCCCGAAGGACATGTTGCAAACGATAGCGCGGTACACCTCGCTGCTACGACGAAGCTCACTTATTATGCCCTTGGGTTCGGTAACCGGTTTTTTGCCGGACGACGATCCAGGAACGGCCTTTGCCGTTGACCTTTGGGCTCCAGACGCGGACTGTCGAGTTCCCGCAGAACTGTCGGTGTCGGTGTGCAAAGGCTTGTCGACGTTCAGCGACTGAGGCCTTTTAAGAGCTGACGTCAACCGTAGCATGATACGTTTTCCTTTGCTTTGTTCGTTTGGCCGCAATGCGGTCGAGTTGGATTGGCACGCGTGATTGTCTTTGTCACATTCGTCTACGACAGTATCTGAAAAATAAAACAAAAACCATTTTAATTATGATTGATTCCCTGAGTCCGAGACCCGCCAAGGAATTAAAATCCTTGGTCAAGTACAGAGAAAAGCCCTGATCGGGATAACAAGTGCCTACAAGACTACAGCGACGTCGTCCCTGCAGGTCATTGCAGGCACGCTATCCCTGGACCTGATGGCTAGGTATCAAGCCGAAATAAACATCCGTCGTGGGAGCGATCCTGTAGAGAGATCCAGAGCCCTCAAGGACCTCTGGGAGGTATTGTGCACCAAATGGCAGACCAGGTGGGACAACGGTAATACCGGTAGGTGGACATACAGATTCTTCCCCTGCGTCAGACGCCGGCTAGCCTTGCCGCTGGTATTAAACCACCATTTTGTTCAATTTTTCTCGGGCCACGGCGACTACCGGGAAAAACTCCACTCGATGAGTCTCTCGGACAGCACGCTCTGCGTCTGCGGAGTGCCCAATGAAAACACTGAGCACATCTTGTTTGAGTGCCCGTCAGCCTCAACCCAGCGTGAGCGTGTTGAACTGGCCGTCCATCGGGCGGGCCACCTATGGCCATGTACCCCAGACATCCTTGTGTCAACAAGGTGTCTGTACAACGCCCTCATTCGCTTCGCAAGAGAAACGCTTTCCAACCGGCGTGCCCAACGATAAACGCTGCACACTGAGCTTCGTCATGGGAAACCCGCCGGCAAGAGTACCCGCTACTTCCGGCACGGGAAAAACCCGTAAAAGGTTTCCCAATGCTACACCTAGTCCGGGGGAACTGATCCCCCACCGCGAGGGCGCGAGCCCAACTTCGTCATGAGTCAAAACTGTCAGCGTACGCGTAAGGATCGTCGCGTTCGCGTAACAGACGCGAGTCTGCCGGCATAAGTCACCCGTGAGCCGAGGTACGGGAGCACTCAAAATCCCACTCCGCTGGGAGTTAAAACACGATGGTGTGGCCAAAAAAAAAGGAACGACGTTCCGAGTCGTGTGGTGGAAGACCCACCCACATTTGTGCGCGAATGTGCAACGAGCACTAGTTTATATGGTAAAACTACTTACTGAGAGATGGTGCGAAAACACCAGCCCTATCGGGCGGCAACTCAGGGGTGGCCGAACAATCGACTGGGCCGAGGAAGGCACGGTTGGCCACACTGAGTCTCTCAGGGGGGTCGGTCGTGCGCGGGGCGCGGGCGGTCGGATAAAACCGGCCGCGATGTCCCTGTGGTTAGGGGATCAGAATGCTACCAAGGATTCGTACGCCTGTTGTAAAAGGCGACTTAAGTACGCGTAGAAGCCTGACGCGAAGTGGCCCTTCAACAGGATCACTTCTCTTGAGACTGACTACCCCGGCCCGTAATTAGCGCCTAGCGCTACAGCGGTCCGCGGTCGTAGGGGATCCCCTTCGGGGGCTAACCACAAAAGCCAAGGTACACCTGTTATGATCCTCGAGTGATGGTTAGACACACAGTTTGTTACCTTCCTATATTAGCAAAAAAATACATGGAAGTTACCACTGAGTTCACGGTCCAAGGTGGTCTGTATAGACTTCCTGATATCCGGGATTTAGACCATATAATAATGGCTGGTTTCCACTTTAGACGTTTGGAAGTCTATAGACAACATCAGATCGTCAACTCAGTGAAAACTTCCATTTATATTTGTACTACTATAATTAAGAATTGATTAGTTATTTTTTACTAACACGAGGGCCTTCATTTAAAGAGTTATTTTGATTTGTTACAATTGGTTCCAATTTAATTTCTAAAACTAGAATGAATCTTTGGAAACTAATATGACTTTTAAAAGTCAGTGCACAAAAATGTCCTATAATAGGTCCAATTTCTAAGGCAAGGTAACAAATAAAAAATACAAATGTGTTGGCCGGCATAATAATATGTTCACTTGAAAAATTATCAAGGTATATAATATGGAACGTGACGTTTATTGTTTAACGAAATATCAACAAGCTTTAAGTGTTTTTTTTAAAACTATAAATGCTATATTTAATTGTTATTCTTACAGAATGATTTAAATAAATTGACGAGTAACCTAAAATGACTCATGTAATATTTTTTAGCGAAAATGATTTGTTGGTATTAAAATATTTGACGATAAAACATATTTCTGTGTATATTATATTTTGTTTTACGGCATTTCGTACTTTATCTAGAGATATACTGGATCAAGTAATAGCTGTCATCATCAGGAAACATTGGGAATGTTATTTTTTTCTTTTGTGAAATGTTACAACAACAATGGCATATATTCAATCATCAACCTAGGTTTTGTGTATGATGAAATATGAATAAATCCACGTACATAAAACAATTATCTTAACTTATGTAAAAAAAACATAACTACTATGTTTTTGAGACTGCTTGACCTTATTTCAAAACGAACTACAATTGTATGAAATTGATATCATCGCTGTACCTAACTTTTGAGATGTTTAATTAAACTGTCGTTCTCATCTCGAATGGGTCTAATAATATGTTTGGGATGAGGGATGTTGTGTTTATTACCGATATGCAAATTATATATCTTGAAATTGAATTCAATTGTCATTCTTCATCGAAATCATAATTAAGAACCCGCCACCAAACACCAGCGTTTCTACAATTAACAATAATTTAAAGACACATGTAGTGTTCAAGTATTTAATTTATTCCTCTCATAGGACGTAGTGCTCACAAATACACCTCAAAATTTGTATTTGTATTTATAGTTATAAGAAAATATTTCATCGCGTCAAATGGGAAACGATTTATTTACATCACTCGACAAATTTTGATTTATGTTATTATGAAATATTAAAAAAATGTTTAAATGTTTACTCTCTTTTAGTATTTTCCAGATTTTTTGAAAATTAAAAAGAAACTTACATTTAATTAACTCGTTGAAATAAGAAGAATTTGCTGAACATTTTGACTGGTCAATACCAATTGACAGCTTTGAATAAATAATTTGAAAGTTTTTAGAACTTAAAATTTAAGACGAAAGGTGAAGTTCGGTTACCCCTAAACTTGGCAAGGGCCAATTTTTAAGTAATAAAAATAATTAAAGCAATAGTACGTTTTAGGTTAGCCATGGAAAGTCATATATAAAATATATGTATATTTAAAGACTCAATGACAAGTTAAGGGTTAAATAATGCGCACAGGTAAAAATAATACTACATTTATAAAACATTAAACTTAAATTACTTTGACAATAGTTATTCAAAACTGGTTACTAATCAGTCAACATTTTTAGCCAAAAATTCTTATTTTATAAAGTTAATTAAGTGTATACGTTTCCATTTAAGTTTCAAATGTTGATAGAGAAAAGAAATAAATATTCGGTTATTTCAATAACATAAATAAAACAAAAAACAATATACAGAATTGTAAATGTTTTCCTATAATTCCTATCATGTTTTCTCATTTCTAAAACGAGTATTTCACTCTCAATGGATCGGATTTATTGGATTGTAAACTGCATTGTTTTTTGTTCCCATTTAATATGCATTATGCAGTAGTGTGTAAAATTGTACGTTTCAAAGGGATGCATTTATCTATTGATGGCTATAGCGGTCGAGCCCTATACCCAGTGGCGTATATAAGTCATAATTTCGGGGGGTTATAAAATAAGAATAGATTTAATTAATACAAGTATTATAAATTAACTTTGATTAAATGAATTCGCACATGTGCCGTACCAACCACAAATCTCAGGGGGGGGGGTTGAACTTCCAAAATCCTCCCCTATATACGCCACTGCCTATACCCCTTTTCTGTTTTTAACTGGGGTAAAACAAAAATGAATTATTCCCTACGGACGCTTAACGGTTCACAGTGTATACGTTGAAATTAAAACGCGCAAAGCATGACAAACTTTTAACGCACTCACTGGTTCGGATAATAGATCATTTGGAACTAGAGTTAGCGCGGCGTTGATTGCTTAAGGGCCACTTTACAATATAATTTAAAGGTTATAAAATATAAACGCGGCTAAGTAACCATTGGTGCATATTCACGGATAAAGATAATTGGCTTAATTTAAGCAGCTGTTTTAATGGTCGTTGTTTTAATAACAGTATTCCTTTAAGCAGATAAATATTTGATAGTGGGGTAAAAAAGATTTTCACCCGATAATTATGTTTATACTACTATGTTTATAAAAAAACACTAACATAAAGATACGTTTGCTCTAGTCGCAATTTCATACATACAAGGTACATGTAATATGACACTGAATAATGTTTTGCGCACACAAGGCAAACTGTGACTGAGTTATTGGCTTATTGCTCTTGATCAACCTATCTCTATTTAAAAGTAAACAAATATTATAATTACAACATTATGAGATTTTCAAAAATGTCATAAAGCGATTAAAAGTATTTGATTTACCGTCAATTAAGCACTCAGCGTTTTCAATAGATTAAAAAAAAACATTGTTGATACTATTGTTCGAAATATTGAATGATTTATACATAAATATATTATTATGTCAGATATTTTGAAAACAGGTTTATAGCATTCTTATTGTGTTATTTATGCTCAGTGGATCATATATTATTATTAAACAAAATATAAGCTGACGCCTTCAATCCGATCCATCTTATATATTACTGTATTATGGAATAAGCATTATCTCTTATCCTGGTCACGATTTCCATAAAATAAATTATATTTATCCGGTCTTTATCGAGATAGTATAATGGTATCTTTATTATCAGTGAATACCGTAATGCTATAAAATACTTTTTCTGCAACTTAAATCGCATTTACCTTAAAATTTGAAATCCCATTACAATATCGTTAATATTATCAAAGCATTAATTTTGTTATTCTGCTTATATACTGGCAAATACATTTTTATCTTAAATAACATGGAAAAACCGTCCACAATAATAAGAAAATCTTCTGAAAAAGTTGGTAATACTAATTTTTGCTTAAAAACATTATTGTATTATAATGTGTTATATTTTAAAAAAAATGGCCAGGTAAAATATGAAGACATTATTTGTACAGACATCAGTCTGTAAAACACTATGTTGCTCTTGCTAAGGTGGAACCTGTCCTTTTCTCACTCAAGTATTTCATAATGGTTGTGGTAGTATATTCGAACAAATAAAACACAGTCAATACTTAGACGGTTTATTGAAGAGAATTTTTTTCAGTATTATATTATTGATTTTACATACTGTGGCAAGACTATAGGCATTTTACTGTAAATAAAACGCTTGGTATGTCGTGCAGCTGTATGTACAGTGCTTCAAACGAAAATTATTAATTGCGTAGGGTTTCGCGAGTGTTATTTGCTTAAGGAAAACAGGGTTGACGCGGATAGTAAAATCCTTATTACCCACCGCATTACTGAAGTACTACTTGAGCGCATTTAACTGTTTCAACAACCTCGACCTATACATAAATTCGAATTTATTTCGACACGTGGGGTCGAAATAAAAAAAAAATCCAATTTTTTGCCGCCTTGTTTGTATAAAGATTAACCAAGGGCACGATAACGGTTTTATTTACTTTTTGCGCACCGTTTTGATGATATACCCGTCGCAGAATAGGTTTTATGTTTTGCCATCATGGTTTTCAATTAAACACAAATAGTAGACAGTTGGTATATAAATAATTATGCCCCTATCGTAACCCCGTGTTTTAAGTAGAAAAAGCTAATATGTGGGTCCACGGTAATGTCAGGTGCTTGAACACACCCAAGTAGTTTTGGTCACCATTCGTTCAATTACTCTTGAACGTCAACACGACCTTTTTTTCCTTTTAAAACTAACCGACAACGTTTTATCCACAAACGGTTTATCCCCCCCCCCCCTCTATCGTATCTTTCTATTGACAGCCACTCTGGTATTCGTTTTTTAACATAGTTTATGTGATAATTGTAATTATTAATATTATTCTTATTCTTACATGTCACTGCTAATGACGACCACGGAATGGGTTGCACCGTTGCGTCTATGTCGTCCTCACGTTCTAGTACGTGCCGTACGGTTTGAGTTCTGTTGCTTGTCAAATTTGTACTCGGGCCATCAGACTTAGGTCTACTAGAACTTATCCCCTTTACCGTGGCACCGGTGACCTCTTGTTTCATGTTTGAATGAACATATCCACTAGCGTTGGCGTCGATGCCGTTCTCGAGCAAAACACGGACTACGTCCACCGACCCACACTCGATGGCTATGTGCAAAGCATTTTTGAACGGCAACTGTGATCGGTCGTCCACCGGCGAGTTTGCTGGAAAGAAAGTGTTTTCTTCGACTCGTTCGTTTCTGAAAAATAAAATAACAGCAAATGCAACGGTTAAAAACAAAATGTTCATCGGATACGATTCTGAACACAAATGTTGAGACCTAATTCGTTCACACGGTGTAATTATAGAAATAATTAAAGAGTGGGTGTAAAAAAAAAAAAACAATCTCATAAGTGTTTTCACTAAAGCAGACCTAAATTCGGTAAACTGGCGAGATAACTTGTCCGAGTTTCGCTACTGAATTTAATTGCCCTTATCATTATAGCTAGCTGCCACTACTATACAAATAATTGCAAACCTTAGTCAAAACGATAATATAGATATAAATCTTTAACAAGAAGCATAAGATCATTTTTTTTTTAAATTTGACCTAAAATAAGTTTGTATTCTATTAGACAAAATATGTTTTGTTAGGTCTAATAAAAAAAAAATCATAACTATGCGCTCATTTCAATATTGTAAAGTTAATAGTTAGTGAAATGATCCCAACCGAAAGAAAGGGGTAGGGATAAGCGATTTTTTTAATTCAAATTATTTATTTTATTATATTATAATTCTATTTATTACCAAACCTTCGAGTATTATATCACGCCGAAAATTATATTTACTTTACTATAATACACAGTTCGAACTTTGGCTTATGACAGTAGTTTTTTTAGTTCTGCTTATTAAGTTTAAAAAAAAAGTGATACTTATATTTGGTTAATAATGCAACATAAGGTTTTATACAAATGTGGTTAGCTAAGGTTAAATGAAGTTTCATGATTAAACGTTTGCGATTATAGTAAGGATAAGCCGGGTATAGTACTTTGGGCGGTTAAATTACGTGTACGTCATACATCGTACGAAATATACTTTATTCTTAAATATAAACGTATAACAATACTTAAAATAAACATAAAATGAACATGAAATGACTATACTGAGTAAAACTTTATGCATAAAAGCTAGCTCTCGAGTAAAAACAAAAAAGGTATAATATCTGTTTTATTTGTTTTGTGTATGCATGTCGTTGATATCCTTTCTTTTATTCGTCTTTTTTGATTAAACTGAATTTTACTTCGTACCATGATTGCGGGTATAAGCCAAATAGTGTTATAATTCATAAGTAAACAACTACCATAATACATTGTATGTAGATTTTTCCCGTCGAGCATCCGAACATAAAAAATAATGACGTGATCGTCTAATGTGGCTTATTCAAGATCAATAACAATGACACTAACATTGATCGTACATATTTGCATTATTATAGAATGGTTAAATGTATTAAGCAAATTAAAAATTTTGAATATACTAATAATATGAAAATCATGTATTGATAACAATAGTATACTTATAATTTATAAATTATATTAACTAATAAGTGAATTATTGAATTAAGGGAAAAAGTCATGAAATACACACTAAAACAAGAAGAATAAATGGGTCGTTTAGTGCTCAAAGTTTCACAAGGAATAAAAAACAAAGAAGACGGGTTTCCATAATATGAAAACGGACGGGATATTATTTTCGATTTGATTTGAAAGAGACAGTATTTTTGTCGCACTTTTATTTATTAATTGTGTTGCTCGAAATTATCTTTTCTCGATGAAAGTATTCCGTACATTGCAATAGTTTTCTTTGAGAATCCAAGTTTTGAAGGGATTTCTATTAAATGTACATAATATTTACCAGGGTTTATGCATCATAATGTATAGGAACGTGTTAATATTTATCATAGATCATAGTGCGAGAGTATATTTATATATCATATACCTAATTTTGAGAATAACCATAACATGTGATGTCGTTAGGTATAACGTTTTTTGCTGAAAAAATAATCGACTCTTCCAAGAATGCTGTACACGTGCCGCAGAAAGATGTTGTGGACTAAGCAATTTGATGGTTGATAATATTAAGTATACAAAGTATATACTTAATGGCGGTATATGTTATACATTAGGATAGCTGTTACACGTGTACGTAACTGCAGTGTTCAACAAACGGGTGTTGGAGAATTTTAGCGCTGCACCGGAACGACATTCTTAACTAATCGACGACGGTATGAATTCAATTATAACTTAATCTGTTGGTACTCCGCCATTGTATAATACATTGGTGTAACGTGTTCAATTCAAGTAATTTATTATGTAAAAATTTCCTTTTGCACGTGTATCGGAACAACGCTCGGTTAAAGTAATGATCTTTTGTACCTGAACGCTTCCGTTAGGTTAACACGCCGGTATAACGTCGAAAGGAGTAGCAAACGCGAACACTCATCTCTCTGCTTGTCAGTTAACATTGTACATAACACGTATTATAATAAATCAAGCCTAACAGAATTAGCAAGTTTTTACATGATACAAGACAACATAAGATGATTCCGTTTCTGTTTTGTAAAACAAATCTCCACGACTTGTACGGTACACCTTTCACGCTAATTATGCTTGCAGCGTCCGAATAATTAAACATTAACCATCTACGGGGTTTAATACAATTACAACTGTCTTGTGAAAATACATTTGATATATATATATATAAAATGTTGTACACCACTTTCCTAATGACTTATAAGTTATACTCCATATTGAGATGAGTTCTAAATTCTATAATGTGACTACTTATATTCTACCATACAAAAAATAGACCTCTCCTTTCCTTCTGACTTGGCCAAATGTATAACTCTTTAACATAAGTGTACAGATATTTTTGAAAAATTAATATGGAATTATAAATCCAAAGTAAGCATTGAAAATATGACCAAAATGATGTTTCTAAATACCCATAACCTACTGTTAAAATAATGTTCTTCTCTTCATTTACCCTATTTTTCTTACAAATCACGTTTCTTCTATGTTTTTGTTTGTATTCTTGCATTTGAAGTATTTATTTCTTAAAACGTAATTTTTAAACATCTTCTCTTGCTACTTCTATATGTTTTTTAATAACAATTTGTCACGTCTAATACACACACTCTCGTTATTATCATATCACTCAATTACATTCAACCATATATTTTTTACCTTTCTTGGAGCTTCTAAATGGCTGGTCGTTTTGTTCACAAGTTCGTTTCGGACGGTTACAAGAATATTATAAGTTGTTTTAATGATTAAGTGACGTGGTACGGCATGGTGTACCATTACGTTTGTAAACATACCCAAGTTTTCGTTAAATATATATTTTATTTAAAGAAAGGCGAAGGGTTCTTGCTGCGTTCGAATTTCACCCTACCGCAATCTAATAATGAATATGTAGGTAGGTATAACGTAATATTATGCGGCGAGGGCTCTCATGTCGAAGGTCAACACTCCGTAGTCGAAACATTAAAGTACAGTTATAAATAAATGGATCGATTGAAATCAGTAAGTTTAGCAAAATTTCATTAAACCACCCCGACCCGCATTTAGTCAGCTTCAATGGAGTTTTCGCGTTGACAGGTATGGGCGAGCACAAAACTGAAACCTCATAATTTACATAACACACACAAAGGCCACGCCGATATTGTACTTGAGATCTTAATCGGTTAGTAAAAAGTTTTAGTTTATTCGAGGGCATATTATTATGTTTCACCCAATGGTCGTATCGTTTTTAAAATTCTATTAAATATTTCATAACGCAATTGTACAGCAAGGACGAGTATAACATATTCTTTTAGCTTTTAGGTCTTCAACAACTATTACTACGGCTTACTCGAAAACGACTACTCAAAATTTCCGATTCTAATTATTTTATTAATGCTCAGTTGGTACTAAATGAATAACTGTTATTGTATGGAGCAAAACACTACCCGGTATTGTAACTGTCAATTGTGTTTGTTGGCAGCTCTTTTGACTTTTTTTCCGATGGGTTTGGCACGACGGTTACACGTCGAGTTCGACGAGAAACGACGATTGATAAAAACTAGTAGGAAACTGTTAGAAACCCCGTTGAAAATAAAATGGGCCAACATTTTAGGAGTTGTTACTGGATGTAAAATCCGTGTCCGTTATTCGCAGCAAACCCTCCTGTCGGCGGTAGGCGCACGAAGTGGAATATACAAGACCTCTGGGAAATCTCGTCGAATAGGCCAGCATTAATTTAGACGCAAGACGACCGCCTTTGGAATTATTATTACAGCCGCGCCAAAGATCTACACCATTTAGTAGGCGGTCAACCGTATTTTGAACTCGCAGCTGAATGATAATCGTTTTAACCGGGGTCAGGATAGGCCAACGGATCGGTTGGCTTCACTCGAATTAACAAACAATCGTCGACTATGATAATATTAGTATGCGAAATCGTAATCGGATTTGCCATTTCAACACATCGAGTGCGGCCAATGATAAATGCGTATTATCGTCACAACGTCATAATGTTTTTGTAACACTACTCAGATTCGCAAATGCCTAGCTAAAATTATTATTCCCCCAGACAGCAGCAATTATAATTGTATAATATAGTTTGTTTTTTGTGCATTGCAATAATTGTTATTTTATATTGTGTTAACTGTATAGAAAACTACAACCATAAGATTATGTTTTTATATTCATGGCCTTTACAATTAATGTACCTACTATTAATAAACATTTTTCACCGGACAGTACCTATAAAAATAATAATAATTTAAATTAATTGTATAGATTTATTTGTTCATAATTACGTTTCTACGCCGTAACCGTCATTCGTCGTAATCGCTTGGAATACAAACAATACGAACAAAACAGAATGACTAATGACTAAAATGATATAAAAAATCCTAACAACTTACTTTAGGCACGCGCTACTCCTGTATACCATAGTACAATGTTAAATATTCAAGTTTACAAGGTTTTTGTGTTACCTTTTTATGATGTTTCGTTTCTAGGTAGTCTACCCTACAACACTGTCAATACGCATACTAAGTGTAAAAGTCCTAACACTATCACCACAATTATTACAAACCCAAACCGATAATTGAAAGCAAACTATCGATTCATGACACCGTATATCATTATTAATAATGGTAAATGAAAAAAAAAACCTTTAGTTCACAAATATTTGCATTACACGAAATATTTAACATTAATTAATCCGAGTTGGATATTTTATAATATTAAAAAAAAAAAACTACGTACCGGAATTGATTGTTGTTTTAAGATTATTATAAAATAATTGTTTTATAAAGCATTGAATATAATCGTATAATGCTACAATCGTAGCATTATCGTATAAAAATAAATCAATCGATTTTTGTAAAAGAACGACATTTTAAAAACAAAATCATTAAGAGCCGTGTTAAAATAAAAACGAATTTACAATTGGCTTGAAAGGACTTTTAGCTAGAATTTAATCATTGCTATGGTAAATAGTTTGTGGTTATTAAAATGTATTGTATACATATATTGTATATAAAAAACTAATACAAAAACTCACAAAGACAACAATTGGATTAATTGATTTTTTGATCCTCTGTAATGTTTAATAAAAAAGTTATCCACTAGTCACTGTTATGCCGAACTGTATACCCTAACGACTAACCTTATTTGTATAATAGTGACAGCTAAAAATAATAGTAAAGTATAACAAATAACCAAAATTAATAATAAAATATAAGAGTGGCGGCTAAAATTTTTTGTTTAGAAACACTTAACAGAATTATAAAATAATAAAAAACATATATAGGTATTTTAAAACTTCGAAGTGATGAATAACATTTATTTTTATATTTCTTTCTTGAAAAAATAGAAATTCTTAAGAAATTTTCATTAAAATATAATATAACATCAAACATGACAATTGTATTAAATTTAATCTCGTATTTTCTATCAACGGGAAAAATATAGAATTTTATTTATCTCACCATTATAGTATAATAAAAAAAAAATGCACGTCTCGGATATGATGATCATAATATTTTATTCCTTTATATAATATTTAAGACGATTATAATTTATCTACAAAAATGTATTGAGCACATCTTCGTGGGTTATATAATATATATTACCGTTTCTTTTCAGTGTTTATATTTTTTCCTCGCAGTATCTATACTTTTTGTATTTAACATGATGCATAAAACATTATTCCCTAAATGTGTTTCATAACGATAGCACTTTTAATGGATTAATGGTTTTAATAAACGGTTAAGACAATATGTTGAGCATACAATCGGACTTACTTGGGAGGAGCATTCTGTCGATCTGAAGGTAAATCTGTTTCGTTTTTTTCTGAGCTAAAGTTATAACGCATTTTTGGAACCTTGGAACCGATCTGCAAAACAATTAACTTTAGTTTTAGTAAAATAATTAAATATGTTTATTAAAAATAATTATGTTTTAAAAGGTCCACCGTCGTCCAGAGAAGCTGTTTCTTTTATTTAGTGCATTTGAAAAGACACTATTGTTCAATAAACGATACAATGTTATTACAAATGCAATAATTGAAATATAAATTTATTTTTAATAATATCGAAAAACTTATTTAATATTTTTAATGTTAAGTAAAAAGATTTTAACGTCACTGAAATGTTTGGCGGCATGGAACATAATAATTTGCGAACAACAGCATTCAAGAAACTCTAACAGCAATCGTAGACATTTCAGTTTGTCATATTTTCACGAGTTTGTCACTGGACTCAGAAAATGGAAGTTTAATTAAAAGTGTTGTTATATGTAAAGTCTGTAATTAAATTCTACCGAATTTCTTAGCAAGTAATTAAACTTAAAGAAAATATTCGAGCGAATTATTTTTCTTTCGAACTACAGAGAGTCTAAATTTGGATTGGAGCGCGTTAGTTTTGTTTTTACTTTATTGGTTTTAATTTGATTTAAGAAATTTTCTTAACGTGTATTACCTTAAATTTGTCTCGATGCATGAATAAAACTTGTTTTACTCTGTAAGTATCATTTGTGCGAATTGACATGTCCAGTAGTTGGCTCTCGAACGTTATATTTGGAGGAGGCGACATCATAGATGAGTGAACACTAAAACAAAACACATTATATTTTAAAGTCCATAGACATATTGGTAAATTGATCCATAAACAATTTTTAATAGATTATCATTCCATTTACTATATATTATTTCGATCAAGTTTGATTTCCCAGTCATTCCACACTGCAACTATCTATAGTATTTACTTTAGCATGTCTAGTTAATTATCAGTTAATATTTTAACTGATAATTGATAAATACATGACTTAACCATAACTAATCAACACTCAACATCAAAGTAACTTATTATTATTATTATTAACTATATGGAACAATTTGGAACTATAAAATGAATCGTTCGACATTTGAAAGTGACTTTTATCCCATTCCTCTTAGGGAGATAGTGTTTTCGTTATTTCTTTTTTTTTGTTATTTTAATTTTATTATTTAAAGCTGAAAAAAAATGGTTAGGTGTAGCACTTTTACAACATTAAAAGTAACACGTGGAATACAATGAAGATAATCTAAAAAATTAAAAAGACGGGGCCTTTTTAAAATTATTTTTCGGCCCGACCGCCTACAGTTAGCTTACTTTAGTTGTATTTTTTTTCATCTAGTTTGTCTTCAAAACATAATTGTGTGCTAAATTACAAATGTGTGAAATCGTTTATGTGGTTGTGTATTGGTTTAGTTAAGTATTTTGCGTGGGCTATTACATATGTTATTTCATATCGATATGAATTTAACGTAAATCAGACGCAAAAAAAATATCACTAAGTGTATGCTGTTTATTATAATATACTATTGTGGTTCATACATTTAAAATTCAAAATTTTAAATAAAAGTACATAATTTAGAAACCTTAATTTAGACCACTGGTTATATAGTTCTGTATACGTTAGAAAAAAACCGTTATACTCGTTAAAATTGTTCTAGGTACAAAATAATATAAATATATTATAGGCGTTTTTAAATATTTATTAAGAAGAATGTCCAGTAAAAAAAAAAAAAACTGGTCAATATTAAATTTTCAACAAAGATTTATGAAGTTTTTAGCATTTTGAGAAATAGGTTGAATGAAAAGTCATGAGACGTCTTGTTCTTCTTCGAGGCTTTTACAGGCCATTTAGGCCCATTGCCGCAACAACCACTTGGCTTCATCGGTCCCTGTCTCTCACCAGTTCTTTCCCATTCTCTATTCCAAGTTTTTTCTAGTCCATGACCACTCTATCTTTGTCTAGGACGTCCCATATTTCGTCACCTGTCCGATTGGACTCTCCGATCTCCATACGTGTCCGGCCCTGCTCAATCTACTACTTTTTAGACTCCAATGATATTTGCTTCTCCGTATAGGTCTTGGATTTCCTGGTTTGTCCTTATCTCATATTCTCCTTCATTGTTAATTTTTAGACCATATATTCTTCTTAATACCTTCCGTTTAAAGGTCGCCAGTTTACATTCATCCGACATTGTTGTGGCCCCACACGCATACAAGGTTACTGGTCTTACTAGGACTTTGTAAAGAGTTATTTTTGTCTTCCAAGATAAAATCTTTGATTTAAATAGAGGAACCAATCCAAAATAAAATCTGTTTGCAGCTGCTAATCTAAGTTTTATTTCCTCGTGGCTATTTGCGTCCTTGTTGATGTCCACTCCTAGGTATTTGAAATTATCTACTCTTTCGAATTTGTAGTTATCAATATCCAAGTGTCCTATTCTATGGTTATTCTTAGTTACGAACATGTATTTTGTCTTATCTTCGTTTATTGTTAACCCAATTCTCTTCCCATATTCCAGTAAAGTTCTTGTAGTATTCTTTAGACTCGCTTCATTTTCTGCCATTATAATTAAATCATGTGCATATGCAGCCACTACTAATTGTTTGTCAATTCCAAGTTTATTTCCACTTTTACTATGGTTTTTCTTGCGACTGATTCCAGTGCTATATTGAACAGAGCTGGGGACAAGGCATCACTTTGCCTAAGCCCTGTCACTACCTCGAAGTCTTCCGACACGACACCTCCGAACTTCACTTTACACTTTGATCCCTGTACACATGCACGCATTAGTCTAACAAAACTTTTCAGGTATACCCAATTGGTCCATTACGCTCCATAGCTTCTCTCTGTTCACCGAATCGTAGGGGCCTTGAAATCTATAAATAAGAGGTGTGTATTCTTGCCAAATTCGTGACTTTTTCAGTTATTTGCTTAATGACATGTATCTGATCTAGGGTTGACTTCCCTGTCATAAACTCTCCCTGGTAATCTCCAATAATTTCTTGTATATAAGGTTTTAGTCTAATAAGTAGAATATTAGACAGTACTTTATACGCTGTGTTCAATAGTGAGATTCCCCTATAATTTTTACAGTCCATAGGGTCTCCCTTTTTAAAAACAGGACATAGAATAGATATTCTATGTTCTCCTTTTTTAAGGCATTCAGAAATTATTTCATCCTCTTCAGCCGCCTTTCCGTTTTTGAGCATTTCCAAACCAATTTCTACCTCTGCTCTTGAAGGTCGTTCTATGTTTTTTGCTCTACTAAGGTTCGTTCTTCTATAATTCTCCTTTCAATAGGTTGGTTTAATAGTGCATTAAACATTTTTTTAAACTCATCTGCTATTTTCCCGTTTTCGGTCAATAATGTTCCGTTTTCTCCTCTAATCATTGATGATTTACGTTTAAATCCATGTTTAACTTCATTCGCTTTTTCAAAAAATATTCGCACATTATTCTTACTACTATTTTCTATGAGTTGTATTCTTTTTTTTCCCATGTTCTTTTGTTCATCCTTATTGTTTTTTTACATCTCGCTGTTTCATGGCTAGTATTCTTTTATTGAATAGCCTGAAGGAAAAGCTATGAGACTATCGTTAACAATTGAAAATATTAATGTTTTTTTTATTTTAGACACTTAAAATAATATAACTAGTTAAATGTTTTTGTTTCCACGAAAGTTTCAGTGTAATATATTTTTTTTAATTCAACAATTACAATACTCCATAGGTTTAATGTTAAAATCAACTTAAAATGTAATAAATACAAGTAAAAATAACTTGAACACTTAGTTTCCAAGCCCGCTAACCGATAAAATTACTACTAAAACCCAGTATTAATCGATAATGCGATATAGGCATATTTCTTTTAAAATAAAAAAAAGAAACAAAAAATACAAACATTTAGTAATAATCGACGGTATTACGGAAATACCGCAGATCCAAACATAAATAAATAATAACAATAAAAACACATATTTTATTTATTTAACTAAGGCCTTCTGTAGAAATAGCGTTTTCTCAGCCACAAAACATATTGCAAGTAAAGCATCAAAATTCAGCATAGTACTGTACCTACCTAACCTGTTCTCTTCTCTAGTTGTTTCCTAGTGTTGTATTACATAGTAGATAAACGGAAAAATGATTTGGAAAATTATTATAGTTTTGGTGTGTTTTAACGTTTTACTAGAAACTGGCAAGGTTTTTAGTAGATATAGGAAAAAGGAATTTTTTCCAAAAGAGGTAAATATAATCGACAAGTCTTTTAATTATTTTTTTAGTATGTCTACAATTTATGTTTTTTATAACCCCACAAAATGTAATGCGTTTTCAGGATAAAAAAATAAAGAGATTTTATCATACTACCAAATATTATATTATCTCATTATTTTTTTAACGAAATTATATTTTGGGTGTACCAACTGATTTCGAGACTGCAAAAATCAATGTTCGTGCGTAATACCAATAACAAGCGTACGTGTCATTGTATGTTGTGACGTCCCGCATTCCCCCATCCACCGTTATGGGTTATTTTGCTACGTATTTAATAAGAATACTCATAACAATATGTATAGTCTTTCAAAATGACAACTCCAAATAGCTTATCACACCAATAATGACGAAAAATTTGATGTCAGTATTGACAAATTCTGCTTTATGATACATATTTTCCAATAAGTTTTTGAATATAATAACACTTTGGTAAAGTTTAGCCAAAATGTTACCGAATGGTTTTAAATGGCATCTTTTTTTTAATAGATTGTATCTTTTATACCGTTTTCGAATCTGCGAGTGTTGGTCTATAGACATTTAATGATCTCGTGTAATACTGATAATGAGCAGTTAACATAGAAACGGTTACTCTCGATAGCCCGCATTTCCTTGCCCTTCGTGGGGGTTGTTCTTTTTTTTTTTCTACCGAATTAATAAGTTGATACTCATAACTAGAGCAAAGAATGTAACACATTATAGAAACTGAGTTTTATTAAATATGTGTAAGTAATAGGTTGATTTAAAGTTTTTTGCACCAAAATGTAGATAACATGTCTATGAAAATAACAAACAAATTTAAATAACATTAAAAGTAATAATTATATAAATAAAAAAAAGGATCAATAAGTTATTGTAGAATTAACTAAAATAATATTTTTCAAACAATTAATGTTTGAATAATGTATAATTTTAAAAATCACTTAGATGACGTTTTTTAATAAAATAGAACTGCTATTATACTACAACATTCATAATATTTTATTTTTTAATGTCGAAACAACAATTTACATAGGAATATTTGGAGGAAATATATCACGTGGAATTTGTACAATCGTTAAATTCCACGCCAACGTTAGACGAGACGGACGTTAACTTTGACAATAATGACATTAGATATCTTTCGGAAGAATGCTACCCTGGCTGTTTAAAAAAAAAAAAGGCATCCATTAAAAAGTACTACCAGAAAATGCAAGCGATTCAGTGTATTCATGGATTGTTCGTGTTGAAAGTTTTGGACGAACTGGAAGCAGTCTTTAGAGAACCATCATACATCAGGGACATTGTACAGCCCGCTAGGGAACATCAAGGTTATTTGAGAAGCATGTTGTCCCTGTTGAACATGGCAAAATGGAAAGCTTACGCTTGGCAAATCGAAACGTACACGTTTGTGGAGGCTCTCGTGGATTCAGACAGAAATGTTAAACTCTACAGACAACATTTCATAGAGAACAATGAATCCATTCGAGAAAACGTGTTTGCCTTTGTAAGCCAATGTGTCCACGACAATTACTTATTGTATCGAGGCGATACATCCTCAGCGACGTCTACGATTTCCTGTTTAGTCGATGGAGTTTATTCGAACATGCGGCCATTGCACACCAACGGTAAATTACACCACGACAGACACCTAAAATCTTACACAGTACGGAATCTCATGCTGCTCCATTTGTATCCAAAACACGATGTCATTTTCGACTGGTCGATGTATGTCATCGGACTCGATACGAGTAAAATTAAGAAAGAGTTACTGGAATACGCCGCGTTGTATGCTCCGCAACAGTTGTATCATAAATGGGAATTGGACCCGATCGGCAAAAATAAGTACAATGCCCTGATTTTGAAATGCATCCATTTAAAGCTCGTGTACTTCGTATGGGTTCACTTACATACGTACCGCGCCTTAAGCTGGCGACCGTGTAACCAGAACTCACCGCTGTATCAAACCTGGAATACGCTAGTTTCAACTCTGAAAATTGCCTTGAGGATGTATCGGTTTGAGGAAAACATCTACTGGTCTGCAATACCTATTATGACGGTCAAGTTAAATAGAATTGGCAAAAAAAAACTCGCGGCACGGGAAGAGTTTACCAGAAATTATTTTTGCAAAGCTGCAGAAGATCTAGGACTCGCTAGTGCATCCGACATCGATCAACAGTTGTTAAGAACAAAAGTTCCAAGAAAAGATATTGTATTAATGTACGAGAGAATCGATAATAATTCCAATAATCTGAAAAATTACCTTTTTGATACTGGAATGGCATTAATGCCAGTCGACGGCACGTTTATTAGTATAATAGTGTCCGCTGAAGGAAATAAAACCTTTGTTAGGCATGAAAATGAAATAACCAATAAAAAATAATATATATAATAATATTTTCTAATACATAATAATTTACTTCTCTTCCGTTTATAAATTTATCATATAATTGTCATGCTATAATATTTTTTCTTTAATAAAATCATTTAACAAAATGTTTATGTAAGTTTGATTTTATTGAGAATACTGTAATCTGTAGGTCTGTAAAGCTAAATGATGAAATGATGCTTTATTAAGCTTCATTTTAAAAGATGTAATAAAGAAGAAAATGTTGTCTATATTATAAAAATAATATAGAGGGCGGATCTAGGAGTGAAAAAAGTAGAGGCGAAAAAAAAATGTTCAAATACATATACATAGTATAAGCAAAAGTAAAATTACTTAACTATTTTTAAGTAAAAAACCATATCCTAATGTAATATTTAATATATTACTGTAAAAATTAACTATATCTTTAACGGTACAATTTAAATAGTTAGTAAATAAGACATCATATAATAGTTAAATAATATATTATTTTGACCAATCATCTAACTTCTTCCTGCTAGACATTCTAGCAAATAATATGTCGATACCTAACTTCATTAATATCTACAGGAATACTATTATGAATATTAAAAACCTTTATTGACCTCATATAACTTTTCAAGCGCCTAAACGAGGTATTCTTATTTCTTTACCAACTGGAGCTGCCTTATCAAAAGCATATATAAAATATTTTTCAAACAGATATAGATTAATTGTCTCTAATATTCCCAACAATATCAATGACATATTTTACATGTAAATACTACCGTAGTCCTGATATTTCGTTAGTTTTTCGTGCCTAAAGATTTTAACAATGGCTTAAGATCATAAACGTAAAAGATAATTAAAAAAAAAAATCAAGTCCTTAAAGGGGGGGGGGCTTCAGCCTCTCTAGCTCTCCTCTTGCATCCACCCAATATTATGAATTCAGCACAGTTTAACCTAGCATAGTCCAAACTAAGCACAATCAAACCAACACAGTAAAAAATAGTACCAAAGTGAGGTCCAGTATCCACAGATTCACATCGAAGCGTTGAATGTGATTTCTTAGAAAAGGCATCTACTGACTACTTTTATTTTAGTTGTTTGTTCTCCTATATTACACCATACATACTATTATAGTTTATTAAATTATATTACATTATACTGTATTTACTTGGTTAGCTATATTACGCATCGCTTTACAAAAATATTCATAACTCCTACAATTTCAAAGTCCACCCTAAAGTTAAATACTCAAAATATGTTAAAACGTTAGAGCTATATGTGTATACTTTTTTAAATTACTAAAAAATGGACTTAAAAAAAAACAAATTATAAATAAAAAAAAATAGTTTTAGGTTCTACATTTTAAGGTTAAAATGTTTAAAAAAAATTCTTCTTCAAGAACCACTTAATAGTAAGTGTATGAGAATGTTTTCTTGTTTTAATATCAAAATATTGGGGAAAAAAATTGGCAATTTTTGCAATTTATACTATAAAATCCACAAAATTTTAGATTTTCCCAATACTTTAGGTCCTCAATAGACTCTCTAAATTCGAAAAAAAATTGAAGACATGAATTTCAAGTCACGGCTAATTTGGCGTGGAGTATATATATAATAAATATATTTAATGTATGTAAATCGATTTAATGGTAATTTACCTAGACGGCGGGATGAGCGTACGAGTCGTGTACGTCTTAAGAAACTCGAATAATGCTTGTTAAAATCGAACCGAGTTCATTGATATGTTTGGAGGCCGTCAAGACGTTATTCCCGTAATGCAAATCACTTATACCCCTTGGGAACTGTCGACATAATTTATGCCAATTAAAGATGTACACTGTACCTATTAATACCAGGCGCTGCTCAGAATACGTCTTTGACCGTTACCTACCAGCACATAAATGGTTTTGGTCCATTTTTCGATTAAACCCAAGGGTCGGTATCCGATTGTTACACGAGTATGCCTACAGCCAAAATACTGCAGTAGACTTGGACCTTCCAGGTATTATTTTATTCATGTAGAACGTTAATTTCGGATGTATTATTATTGCGATTAAAATTTAACTAACAATGCAACAAGAATGCGCTTCGGTATCGACTGGCTTTTATCGATAGTCGCATAAGCAGACCTAAATCGCCGTCGTTATGCCAAGAAAGCATAACCATATGCAATATTGTACTAACCTGCAATTTTGAGGGAACGATGGCACCGAGGAGCTTGGTTCGTCCTGTAGCTCATCGGACGCCATCGAACTTTCCGAATCCATTTCGTCAGAGATGTCCGTGTCGGAGTCACCGTGGCCGGAGTTTGCTGGTAAGCCCACGGTCAGTTGATGATCGTCTCCCTAGAAAAAGCGAATAAAACATACCGTGAGTAAATTAACCGCATTTGGTCCTAATGCAAAATGTAGTCGAATGTGATTGTCATAAAAAAACACACGACATCCTGTGTGGTTATTAAAATAAAATATACTAGGTGATCGATTCAACGTAAGACACTGTTTTTCTCAAAAATAATCGCAATTCTTCCTTTTGAAAACGTATACATTCGATTAAGAATAATTTGCTGCAAATTTTGACCGGTCGATAACTAGTTTTGGATATTTACTTTTAATCTAGAAAGTTCAAGTTTAAAATTTAGAACGGGAAGGAGAGTGAGTGTAGTGCAATTTCTATCTACGCCCAATTAACTACCGCACTCCACCTCCCGTCCGATATTTTAAACTTTAAAAGTAATTATTCAATACTGGTAACAGTCATAATTGTCAGCAAATAGTTGTTAATTTAAAAAAGTTAATAATATTAATATTAATTAAATACATGCGTTCCCGTTTAAGTTTGGAGAGTTGATATAGTTAAATGACAACTATTTTTGTTTCTTTTTGAGCAATTGTACATAATCCTTGATATTATATTTGTGTGAAAAAAAAATATGTTACAAAATATATATATTTATACAAATCAAGGCTAGTCCTCAACTCGTCGTGTTGTTTCGTTTCGTGTGTATTGAACATGACACGTACCTTTGTGACTGCACGAAATAATTGTTACCAGCCGTTCTACCAACATTATCAGTTATCACTGATTATTAACATTATCACTGATTTTTTATTTATTTTTCACTGATAATTATTTTGTTATCACCGTAAATAAAAATAAAAAACTTAATTATAATAATATATTATAATAACTTAATTTGTTATTAATTTAATTTAATTTTGTTGTGGATTTGTAATCGCAATGACTGATATGATGTAACCAGCTATGATCAGCACGGCCAAAGTTGAATCTATTCAGCTTCGCGGTAACCGCGGTAACGTATTGGTAGACACGATCAAAATGTATCTACCATGATAATATAAGCCAATCAGAAATGAGTATTTCACACGAAACGAAACGACACGATGAGTTGAGCACTAGTCTTCAGTTTCAACCGGGATAACCGTTAACCAAAAAAACCTAAGCAAATATTGTATTTTCATAACTTCTATAAATTCAACATTTTTAACATATGTGCCTCAAAGAAGATATTATAAAGTCTTGTGTTATTAATAAAAAAATATATAAGAATATTTTTATTAATAATAAAAATATTCTCGGAACAAACAAATTTTTTTCAATTTAAAAATGTACAATATACAATTCAGTAAGTTTATTGTTTTTTGTCCACCAATATCATCCGTACGTACATCAACGTACAACAATATAGCAATAAAATAAAATTATATCAAAGAGGGTTGCATAAAGAATAATATGCATTTAAATTGAATTTCAGCTTGTATAAGAGCATACGTTCTCATAATCTCATCTTCTTCACTATAAATTGCAATTCCTAAATAACACAATATTGTAGTATAAATAATAAATTGTTACTGTGATACACGGCCCTTAATAGTTTGGGTAACCTTGTTGTGATATGAAAAAAAAGTCTATACAGGGTTTTGCTCTTATTTAAATTATTGACAACGCATATATTGAAGTAGGTAGGTATTTTTTGTTTAGTTTTTATTGTAAAAATATTATATTATAAAATCGAATTGTTTTTATATTAAAAAAAACGAATAGTAATATTTTGAATATTACACGGTAACGATAAGTTGAAAGCTTAGTGATAATTAAACTTAACTTTATTTACTCTTACATGTATGTATATAATAAAATAATAGTACTCAGGTTGTAAGACTGGTAATTATGGACACGTAGTTAAATACAAATTACCTATTGATAAGCCGTAAGGTAATGACAGTAAGCGAATGTGTGTCCGTCTTGCCGTTCCACTGAATACAATGTTACAGATTTATTCAAATTTTAATTGTACATCACGAAAATGTTTAATTTGTTTTATTTTTATACATTCATCTATTTGTAACTACCGTCGCACACTGGGGCAAAAAGGCCTCCAAAACTGGCAAAAAATAAATTTTAATTTATACTATGAAAAATTCAGCAGTATGTAACATATTTACCTTATTATATTATTTTTGTTTGTATGATAACACGGTCAAATAGGTCACGCTATTTTAGTACCGTGGTTAAAATATTGCTTGTGACCAAATGATATGACTCTTTTTCCCACTCCTTTCACCGAGGCAAATGTTATTCCTTTTTGTTTTTCTTTTGAGATATTAGCTAAATAATACATTTTTAAACTATGGAACCTTCGACGTCAGGTATGTAATATTTCAATAGCCATTTTAGTGTTTGAGATGATTTATTATTTATATTTTATTTATTTATATAAAAAGATAGATTCTATAAACATTTAAAAATGTTTAGTTATGTTCCTAAGTTGATCGTGTGCCGAATGTTGTTTTTATTATTATGTATGAGTTACAAGAGCAAAAAAAAACTTTTCACATTTTGCTACTATCTGCTACTTTGTTAGGGTTTTCTTAGCTTACGCATATATCTCGCTATATGTTTCTCTTATACTTACTAAACAATATCCCTAATAAATAGTTTAAATAAGTAATAAAAATGCGTTGCACTAATCTGACCCTTTAAAACACCGAAACGGTTCAATTATAAATTTGTTTTTTTGTAAACAAAATCTTCATGCTTATATTTAATACCTCTAAAAAATATTAGGCAATTTTCAGGAATAAAAGTTGTTTACATCCTTGAGACCCATAAATAATACTGGACACAATATTAAAATATTTATCTTTTTTTTTTCTTCCTAGAGCTCTATCGACTTTTGAAATTTAAATAGTAACATACATAGTTGATTAACTTTTTAATTTAAGAATCATTTGTTAACAATTTTTATTGGTCCAAAAAAAGAAAAATTATATAATTTATAAAAAATAATTACTGTTCAAAAAAGTCTTAGAGAGACCCTCATAAAATTGGTCAAAATATGAGTCATTTAGGTGACTCGATTTGTTAGGCTACTTAGTACTTACTTTTAGTTCATCTAGAATTAGCAATTAATGTTTATTTATATTCTATAAGAATAATGAAAAGGAGAAGGATCTATTTAATTATATAAAACATATTACAATAAAACATTTTAAATTAAAAAAAAAAATGTCAACATTATTTTATAAAAAAATGCATATTTACTTTTTGCTCCATTTATTTTTAATTGTCCTACTTGACTGTATTGTACAATTTGAAACTTATTCTGTTGCTACTTATAAAAGTTTTAAACTTTTGCAAAAAAATATTTAAAAATAAAAAAAATCACATTAATTTTTTTAGTTTGAAAAAAAAATCGTATCCTTTAAGCCTGGTAGTTTTGGGTACTGTTCACTGCTAATTGAAAAATGATCTACATGAAATTGAGGGGGGTAAATACATAAAAAATTGTGAAAAATTGAGATCACATTGAATAAAAACAATATGAAAAAAAAATTGTAATTCCTTATTAAAACCTATGAGATGTTGAGTGGTTCAGGATAAGTGGATCACCCTGTATATAAATATACGCTAACCAATAAAATGTGTTTGTTTTGTGTGTACGTTTATATCGATAACATTATGACGTTTATAAATGAATACCGCACTCGGTTTCTTACCGGTTTGTTATCGTTAAAGCAACTACTACTATTGCCTCTATAATCACTTTCAACAATATTAGGTTGTTGCTAGGCCTCCCATTTCGTTTAGATTTACTACAAAGTGATATTGTGTGCGGTGCACCACCGCCAGATCGCACTGCCTGTACATAAAACGTTGGGATTTATTTCAAGAGGAAAAAAATTGTTTAATAATAGTGTTTAAAAATGCTCTTCGGCATTTACAAAAATAATAGAACCTTTTCAATCTTAGCCGCGAGTAAAAAATATACAAATATTGAAGATCAGCTCTCTCCACGACAAAGATGAACCTAATTAATTACAAGAAATTTTGCTTTTCAACTTGCCTAATTTAAAATACATAAATGACAGAAGTAAGCTTTCAGAAATGTGATAGCTTATGCAACATATAAAAATAATGAATTCAAGGGATGCGCGTCACAAAATTAGAGAAGTTACCATTGAGAATAACGTCGAGGAAAAGTTTAGTATTGTCGGATTGTGATGGACAGTGAAAAAGTAAATGAACGCACAGGTAGGAAAAGTTCATTATGAGAGGGAGTAGGATACAATTTGATGTCAAACTCAAATATCTATAATACCAAGTACTACTTTTTCAACAAAGGTCTTAAAAGAACAACAGCTATAATATAATATAAAAGCGATAATAGGTATCAAGTATCATATTTTCTAGTGATCTTATAAAAATATATCTTTGCTGTTTAAACGTATAAATACCATATCTATATTAAAATAATAATATAATTAATGAATAAATACGAGTAAATGTATATGTTGTTTTCCAACATGATTAAAAAAACAACTATACCAACAAAGAAAGGCGGAAATGTAGACTACAAAAATATTGTATGTTTATAATTGATTGTTTTATTTTATCGCCAAACACATCACGTTCAAGAGCTTTCAAAACGAATTTTTTTTTACATAATTCAACACATATCAATATAGACAAGTGATAAAGCTATACTGGTTTCATTAATTTATTAATTAAGATTAATAGGTATATCCATTGAGCTGATATATGTGTTTGCAAAATAGAATATATCATTACAACATATTATTATTAGCTCTGCATCGATTTAAAAAACACGCACGTCATCTATAATCTCATTTAGATAATTACAAAATTGGCATTGCTCAACGCCATTAAATTATTATTATTAATTTATAAACAAAAGAGAAGAAAATTATTATGTATTAGAAAATATTATTAGGTATATTATTTTTTATTGTTTATTACATTTTCATGCATAACAAAAGTTTTATTTCCTTCAGCGGACACTGTTATACGAATAAATGTGCCG